TTTTAAAAAATCATTTAAAAATTGGAGAAAGATAATTAAAAATTCATAGAAAATCAGTAGAAAAATAACCCCCAAAATTAAGAGAAAACAACAAATTGGTTTATGCTTGAATTTACAGTGAGGTAACTGTACCCCGTAAACACCACTGTAGTACACCGCCCTACGCGTACCAGGTCCGCAAACTGGTTGATGGCGCGCCGGAACGTGACCCTCGTGTTCCTGTTGAAGTCGTCGATGGCCGCCTTCCTTGCCATGAACATGCTCATCCGATCCTCCTCCGAGTGCATGTCTAGCTGTCACATGAAGAGAAATTACGTAACGATGCGAGACGCGGGACACCGCAACGTGGGGTTGTATTTTGACTAACCGTCATGTTGTGCCCGCGGTACATCCGCGCCATCCGCCTGAGCTCGTCGCGCGAATGGTACGTCTTGTTGTTTTTTCTCTGAATCCGGAACCAATGACAATCGATGTTTTTTCATAATACTCAACATTTGATTGCCGGAAGTGATAATGTGATACCCCTGGGCGGACGCACCTTGAACTCCTCCCACTCTGAGATCATGGCTCTGGAGGCGATCTTGGGCGCAGTGGCCGCCGCGCCGACGGCGGGCTCCTCGGCGGCTGTCCTCCCCCCAGCGTCATCTGGGTCGCCAAGCAGCCTGCCGCGGATCTTGAAAAAAGCGGGTCGACGTTTCATAATTTCTCAAAAAAATATTTGCAGCTGTGCCCAAAGGAATTTCGATTTCAGGTGTAAAAGGGCGATGTGAGCAAAATTACCGGTGCAGAGGGCAGCATCCCCAGAGGTGCACCCGCAGACGCATTAGCCATCATAGGGCTCGCCGTAGCGAGTGCGCCGCCTTCTTCGGCCGCAATTGCATCTGTCGAATCCAAGGGAGACGTTGTGGATTTGGCCAGCGGTTCTGCAGCTGTCGCGATCGTTGCAGCTGCCTGGTTGACCTGTGCAGGGCTGGGCGGGGTGGATGTGCCCTGTTCCGAAGTGCTGGGCGAAGGAGGCGTGCTGGGGGTGGCTGGACTCGTTTCATAGATTGACTCGCTGGATGTAGACGATCTGCTTACTAGTGCCGAACCTGCTTGAGTCGTTTCGCCGCTGACTGAAGTCGGTTTGGCTGGTGCGCCTGCGCCGGCTTGAGTCGTCTCGACGCCGAGTGACGTGGATTTGGCTGACACGACTGCACCTGCTGAAGCTGCTTCCGGACTACCCGAGGGGGATTTGGTTGGTAAGGGTGCACCTGCACCTGCCAGAGTCGCTTCCACGCTCGTCGGCGTCGATTTGGCTGCACCTGCTGCTTGAGTCGTCCCTTGCAAACCCGGAGTTGATTTACCAGCCATGGCCGCGATTGCTTGAGGTGTTTGTGTTGATTTGCTCTGCAGTGCCGCACCCGCTTGAGTCACTTGCTGATTCGGCAAAGTGGATCTGACCGAAGGGACGACGCCTGCCTGCGTCGCCACCGGCGGGGGCGTGCCGGAGCCGGTCGCGCCCGCCTTTGGAACCGACACGGTGACTTTGCTGGCCGACGTCGCGCCGGCCTGAGGTGGCGGAAAACTGAACGGTGTCGATTTTGCGGGCAGCGCTGCACCCGATTGTGTCACTGGCGAACCAAGCCACGCGGATTTGCTGGGCAGCACAGCGCTGGTTCGAGACGTCTGCGGCGCGGAAAGCGTGGTTGGGCTAGTCGTGGCGGGTGGTGCCCTGGTCCACACGGTCCCTTTAGAAAGCCTCGACACATTCTGAAAAAGAAATAGGGCCGTGGACATAGTGGATAATCTGAATGCACTGGCGAGAAACTACATCCATCTGCGTGCCGTGGACTGCCGTCTCAAACCCGCTCTGCAAGAATACCTCCTCTCGCGCATACCTCGAACCTCGCCGAGGCCGCGGTGAAGCCCCAGGTGGCGGTGGCGGTAGCGGCGGCGTGGGCGCTGCCCGGCGCGTGCCCGCCCAGCAGGGCGACCAGCAGCACGGTGTGCAGGGAGGACGCGGGGCGCGCCACCGGGCGCCACCACATGGCACTGCCCTCGGCCACTGCATGGCCGTTTGCTAGACGACTGCCCCACCCCGCCCCCCGCCACGCCCCACCGCCTTGATAGCGAGAGCCCAGCCGCCGCCCGCGCTTTGCCGGCGCCAAGTGGTGGAGCCTGCGCGGCCCTACACGACGGGGCGGGCGCGGGCGGGGCGCGGCCCTTAGCAGGAGGGCGTTTTGATGTACCGTAATCTCGCAATAATTCTACCGACTGTGTAGCGCTGCCGCGCTGCTGGGTACCCCCTGAGTAGGCACTTTAGGCGGTCCATGAGTGCCCCGCCCTGTATGCCCCGCACCTGGGCCCCGTGGGCTGCCCCGCCCCGCCTCGCCCCGCCTCGCCCCGCCGCAGCAGCCGCAGCCAATCAAGCCGCGCGCCGCACACCTTGTTGCGCGGCAATATCGCCCCAGACGTGCCAAAGTGCCTCGTAACTTATGGATGTCCCCCGCGCGCCCAGCGCGAGCCTCTCCTTGTCCTTGAGGAGGGCCAGGGTATAGGGGGCGGACGACGACGCCCCCGCCCTGGGGGTTATCCATAAAGTACACCGGTCCGTTGGAGTTATTGTCAAGCCCGGGGAGGGCGCGGGGCCGGGGGCCGGTTGGGTTAAGGAACCTCTCCAACTCTGCCCCTCCACCGCCCCCACACACACACGTAAATGGAAACCACGATGAGGATAAGGGGGAAAGGAGGCAGGGACGGCGCGACCCCTTGACCTTACGAAAGCGCACCCGAGGGCATCTGTGCCCGGACACCTGGATGGTTGGTCTCCCCCCTTCGTCGTCCTTGCCGCACAGCTTGGTCGCTGTCCCCCATCACCCAGTTGGAGAGCAAATGCGTCTGCTAGCCGGTCGGTATGCACGGGTGCGAACGGGTTTGTCTATCGGCGGTGGCTAGCCCCGTGCCGAATAGGCAACCCGTCAACGCGTGTGCACGCGGGCTAGTATACTCCTTTGCTCCAACAGCGACCAACCTGTTCAAGACCCAGACCGGCTCTGGTGCTGGTGGTGGATATACGCTGCGGTGAAACATTTCTCAAGGTAATACATTACTTTCCCAGTGCGAGTTGCGTGTTGCGCACCGGAAGTGGAGCCGTGGAGGCCTCTTTCAGCAGTAGTGGTAGCAGTAACAACATCAGCACACGGCCTTTTCTCCTCATATCGTGTCATGCGGCGGAAGTCATTTCCGGTCGGAACAACCAAAACACGTCCTCGCGGCCAGGTTGGCGAAGACGTGACCATGCGAGGCCACGCGCCCGCGTCGCGCAGGGGCGCCGCCCTCGGGGACCCGCCCTAGAGGCCCACCCGTGGCCAGCCGGACTGGACGACCGCAGAGGAGATTTCTACCCCCACCCCACTCTGAACCCCCACCTGTCGACGTTTGCGGAAAGCGGCTGCAAAAGCGAACAGAATGCCCGCAATATTCCCCTGCCGCGCCCGTCCTCCCTCGTCCCCCGGTCCGCAGCGCCACCACGAAGTAAGAGTTCCTTTTACTCCGTGGTGCCACGCCGCTCATGGCCAATGATGTCCACGGCGGCGCGGCCGAGGTCCCTCCCTTGGCACGCCGGGGCGGCCGGAGCAGGCGAAGGGGCCGGAGCGGGGGACGACTTCTTTACGAGGGTGGCCCGAGAACGATCTAGTCTGCGCACGCAAATGGCTCGGAAAGGTCTTGGGGGCGGGCGGGCCTGTGTGCCGTGCCGTGCGCGCTGTGGTGCGCCTGGTCGGGCGGCACGTCGCTGTGTGTCAGTCCAGTGGGCATGTCCTACACCCCCCCAAACCCTCACCCACGGAGGGGTAGGAAAGGCCTCCGGGAAGCACCCTGGCGGCGATGTCGTAGTGACTGCCACGCCAGCATGGAGGACGCACCGCGCCGCCTACCCGCTCTGGGGCTGGTCCTGGTCTTAACCGCCTTGGTGCTCCCCACAGGTAGGAGCGGGAGGGAGAGAAAGTGAGAAAAAATATGGGTTGGAGGGAGGGGTGGGAGCGAGAAAGTAGTCGCGCGGTTCGCGTCGATTGGGCGATTCCTTCCTTACGGACCCGGTCATGGGGCCTCTATGAGTTCCTATGGCATAGTCCAGGACCTTCAGAGGGGGGACCATGGTTTGAAAATGGGGAATCCGACGTCGAAACAATATCATTTCGATGTGAATTTCTCTCGGAATTTTTCTCAACGTGTGATGTAGCCGCCCCCGCCCCCGCGCCCGCCCGGGCCCGCCGCCGAGGGCGGGCGGATTGGAAGCGGATGGGAGATTTGGTCCAGCAGCTGCAGCGGCGACACTTTCATTACTCGTCAAGCCGAGTCAGAGACGCTGCTGCTGCTGCTGCTGCTGCTGCTGCGGTAGTCTCCCTCCCAGAGGAACGGAAGAAGGCGTCCGGGGGCTCGCGGCCCGTCCGTCCATCCGCTCGTCGGTCCGTCTGCCCGTCGTCGGTCCACCCCCGTTCTCAACGGGGATTATCCGACGCTGTCGGATTTGTGGCTGGCCGTCCCGCCGAGGCGAAGCTTCTGCTGGTCATTTTCTCCCTCCCCCCCCCCTCCTCCCTTTTGTGGTGGAGGTGAGGATGAAGGGGATAGGGGAGGAAGAAGTTTTATATTTTCGTTCGGGGCGTTTATTCCCCCGCTCCTCCCGGCTTTTCGCGAAACATAACGACAGGACGACTCTATTCTCTTTTACTAGCCGCTGTAATAGCGAGAGGGAAGCGGACGGTCCGGGCTCTGCTCTGCTGAGAACGCGGGGGAAAGGGGGGGAGGGGGGGCATGTAGGCGCTGGCATCGGCGTAGCCTCCTGGTGAGGGTTGGCCGACGTTGGTCGTGATGGGTGCCGGTGCTGGTGCCAGGGCTGTTCGCGGTGCCCGAGTTCTCCAGGACGACCACGACGACGGCCACCCCCAACACGACGCGGGCCGCGAGCTCGAGCGGGCCCAGTGGACCTCTGCCTGGCACCGTGACGTGTGCCACGGCGGAGCAGGCGGGGTCCGCGTCGGCGCTCCCGGCCGCCTCCCTGCGCGCCATCCAGCCGCAGCAGGCGCTGTCGTGCATCGCCTTCCTGGGCAAGGACCCTCTCGGCGAGGACCAAGCGCGCGCCGTCTGGGACCTGCTGCTGCAGGCCTACGAGACGGCCGACATGGTCCCGGATGAGACGCTCCGCCTGCTCGGGTGGGTGGCCGCCGGCATTCCCCCGGATCACATCGCCAACCTGTCGCTGAGCGAGTTCGACACGGTGGCGGCCCTGGGCGTCTTCCACAACCTCAGCTTGGACCAGGTGAGCCAGTCAACACAAAAATCCTTCGGCCAGAACCTGAGAGATAAAACATAATAAAAATGCACACTGCTACAGCTGTCCGCCATGGCGGATTCCGTGCGCTTCCAGTGGTCGGCCAAGGAGCCCGAGGACCTCAGCTACCTGGACCTCACGGCCCTCAACCACATCCTGTGTGGTTTCAACGCTTCGGACGTAGCGCGCATCCATGCCGACGCATACAAGTCAGTTGTTTGTTGTTTTCAGTCACAGAGCTTTGCCTCGGAGAGCCAGAGTTGTGCACGCGGGGCAAGATTTGCCTTCGGAAAGCGAGCGCGAGGCGAGGCAGGGTTGTGCACGGCCGCGGCCGCGAGCCAGCGCGAGGCAAGATTTTGCTTCGCGCGCAAAACTCTGCGAAGAGCTCTCCCTCCACTGCACGCTCGGCGTACAGAGAGGCGGCGAGCTCGTTGTCGCTGCTGCGCTGTCCGGGGACGCCAGGCGCTGCGCCCGTGCCGGGAGTGGGCGGGAGCTCGGGAGCGGACCTGGCCAACCCCAACCCAACCCTCAACGCCCTGCCTTCCCTGCGCGTCCTGGCGTCCATGGCGGAGAGCGGGGACGCGTTCGGCGACCCGGCCAGCTGGTCCGCGGCCACGGTACGCGCCATCGGCTGCGTCCTGGTCGGCCTCCCCAGCGCCTCTCTGGTGCGCATCCCCGTCCACTCCATGCATGCCATGCTCCAGGCCCTGGCCGGCGCCGATCAGCTCATCGTACGCAAGTGCATGTACGGCACGCCCGTCATCGCCCAGGTACCGTACTGTGGTGGGAATCGTCCTCGTTACTGACCTGACCATCATAATGGTGACCTTTTCTTTGCCTCCGAGACGCAGCGGCTGTCATCCGCCGAGCTGCCGCTGCAGAGCGCGTCCACCTCCACCGCGGTGCCGACCTTGATGGGCGCCTCGCCGTCCAACTCCACGACCAGTAGCAACAGCAGTGTTCCTCCTGGCGCACCTGGCATGCCCCACCCGGCAGGACTCGCCGACCAAGCAGTCCGAAACGGAACCCAACAGGGGTCACGACCGGCTGTTCCTGGCTCGGGGGTCTCTGTATTCGACCAATATTCTCGGTTTTCACTTCTGGCTGCCACAGTGGTGACAGCCAACATTTGGGTCAGTCTAGAATGATATATGGTCGGGGAAAATTCTTTTTTAAAAAAGGCAATTTGGTTTTCAATTTATGATGGTTTACTTTTATCTTTTCACAACTGAACAGTAAAATAAAGGTGTATATAATATCAATAACTTTCAAGTTCATTTATGTTATATTTGTATACATGGAATGTTGATACCAATATGCAGAGTATCGCCTGCAATACAGCTGCTAAAAACAGAATTCTTAGGATCGTAAATGCAATCAACTGCTCGCCAGAACATAATGCAAAGTAAAGCTACCAATATTTGTAACTGATCAGTACAAAATCATCTCTGTTTTTATATAGATCACAATAAAGTACTTTGAGAAAGCAGATCCAATAAGTTGGTCCAAAAGAATTACAAAGAATTTTTCATTCATCATATACTGAACCAAATTAAAGAAGAAATTAAGGCTGTGTTGTAAAATCATACTAAGGCTAAATACAGTACTACAGAAGCCTTCGGACGGAAATTTAAACAAAATATTTGAAATCAGTTCATGCAATTTTACAGGTTTCTCTATGGTCTCTTAAGTAAAAGATTAGGAACATTAGAAAACAAATTTGTTCCGTTTATTGTGAATAGTACAATCTCAGCAGCAAGAGTTGACCACACTATCAAATATGATTATTTGTCTTGTGTACTTGTACTGAAACAATTTACATACGGATTTTGTTTTTGATTATCATTGATTTTCATGCCCTAAATCAGAGGTACTCTAACTGCATATCACATGCCTTAATTACATATGCAGCATATCTTTGAAAAATCACAGATTATTATAGGTAGCTTTAAGCAATTTTGACTCAAAGATAAAGCAGCTGACATTAAATAGGAGCAGTATTCCATGATTACAAAATTAAGAAATTTAACATGATGTACCACATACTTTGAGAAGAATTCAACAAATCCTGCCACTTCTAACTGCAACCAGTTAATGAAAAACTTATCTTTGATTACTTTTACTATCTAGCTATCTACTTATGCAAAGATGACCTTGTTATCCTTTCAAGGATGGCATAACAAGTTTGATTATTGTTGGCGTAGAAAAGTCTGATTAATACAGCTTTTAATAACCACTACATATCTGAAACTACAGATATTGAGGACCATTAGAGGTTTAACCAAACAGCTGACTGTACTTATAAAGCTAGCTGGGGTTTTCAAAGAAAAATAATTAGGAATTAAGAAGGGGTATCCTACCTCAAAAATGGGTGTACACTGGTTAAACAGTCAATTGAATTGAAATGACTAAAAAAATGACTAAAAATAACTGATGACTGACTGAACCTGACTTGGTCCAACTGATGCAACTGACTTTTTATGACTAAAATCGACTAAATGTGTGACTTCTCTTGGACTAAAACCGACTAAATGTGACTTTTTTATGGGTAAATTCAGCCACAAGTATGACTAAAATCTAAAAATTTGATTGAAATTTGAAATTGAGTTCTTAGCATCAAGTATGACAAATTGCACGATTTGAGGTAATGACTGGAAAGGACTAGTTTTCAACTAAAATCGACGTAGAGTGACTAGTTGTGACTTTTTGTGATTGTTTAAAAGGGTTTTTCTGACTTTTCGAGACTAAGGAGACTCGGAATGACTGACATGACTACAAGTGACAAGAAGGTAACTAAACACGACTTTTTTGCTCCCCGCACACTGACTTTTTGAGGTGAGGTACCCCTTCGGTAGGAATCATGACAAAATTTATCACACTTATCTCATAGATAGATAGAAAATATGTCTGATAACACTACAAGTAGCATTCACAAAATAAGATAAAAGATTCAGTAATAAATATGTATAAAATATTTTAAACTTTGGATAACATTGCTGGAACATCATATAAAACATTTGGTAGCTAGCTTAATTATTTGAATGCATTTTCAGCATATCTTATCATTGTATAGAAATATGAAATTATGTGTACATTTGTTTGTGAAAAGTGCTTTAAAACATTGCAAATCATCTCTGGTAAAAAGAAAACAGAATTGAAAAAAAATCAAAACTGTCTATGGATTTTAGAATTGGAAACAGTTGAAGGTGCTCCAAAGGAGATCTGCTGAAAGCTTTGTCAACTACACTATACATTGCAGCATGTTAAATATTGCCCATTAAGTATCACAAATAGAAGTGGGAAAACACCAAATTTATACATGGTGATGAAAGGAAAACAAAAATAAACTAGCATTGACCCTTTGGATTTGGCACCAGCAGTAAGATTGCTTTTACCATTCCCTCTCACATTAACCTGTAGCCAATTTTTGAGAAAAAAATAATCTTCACAGAGATTCTAAAACTTTGCTTATCTAATAAAAAACCCGTAGTCCAGTACCACATTATGAATGGATACAATGACAACAAATGTTCACTATGTTACATATCATATAGGGAAAGAAATGAACTTACTTTTATAGCTTGCTTTGAGGATGAAATTAACTTTCAGAACAAAGAATACTTTTAATAAATAAAACTACTTATCAAGTACGTAATTTGACTGAAGCAATACCACCTATCAGCAACCAGTAACCACAGGTGCACTTGGTACTTGAAGTATGCGGTAATCGATCACCTCATAAAAAACCTGCAAGTATATCAGTAATAGGTTAAAAAAGTCCTTGTAAAATAAAATTCAAAGATAAGTTGTGGAGAGAAATCATGGAATAATGCATACCCTCGCATTATCACCTCCAAAGAAAATGTTCCAGTGCTCAAACTGCATAAAGTTAGATGTTAGTGGTTAGATTATTACCTCAAAATCTTCACCATAAGTTTCAATGCCAAAAGTTTATATACTTACAAGGGCAATAATGCCAACACTCCTTTTCCATAGGTTGTTTCACACAAGGCCAGGCAAGGTGCATGGTGGGATGGTACAACCATTCTTCTCACGACGTTAGTGATAACACAGTCTGGGGCAATTCTTATAGCAGCAGCAGAGCATTTTTCAGCCATTTCCTCATCACGAATAGCACTCTTCTCTCTGGCATACATTACTGCAGCACTCAGCTGAACAAAGGCATTTTCGGGCCATGCAGTAAGTGCACGTCTATACAAAATAAAAACAAAAGGAAACCCAATTAGTGTAATCAAGACTATGACCTTTAGTTCCACCCTCAGCATACAGCTAAATCACCTGAGAAGCTCTTTAGCAGGCTCGGGCCTCTTTTTCTGAAGATGCCATGTGGCACCATAAATTGCAATGTGTGGAGTGAAGGCATCACCAACAACACTGGCGGGCTGATCTCCATAAATTCTTTGCCATTCAGGTTCCCGAGGATACAACTCTTGGGCTCTAATTGCAGCGGCTTTCAATCTAAACCCAACCCATTCTGTAAAAAAATAGTTTCAAGTAAAATTTTTGTAATAAAATACTTGGTACAGTTTCAAATTTTCAATATGTCACACATAAATGAGCACTTACCAAAAAAGCAATAGCGACATGAAGCTTGCAAGCCCCATACAGCGGCTTGTTGTTGAGGACTCAAATCTTTCAAAGGTGTAATCTGTGCAATTTCATACCACATATCCTTTAAATTTGTGTTCCGATTAGCAAGGTGAACCCAAGTTGATTGAAGAACATGTTCCACACCCTCTAAACATCGCCTTAATAACGCACCATCTTCCCCAGCCCACTCAACAGTCTGAATTAGAGCATCTATTTCTGATAGCTCTACCCTGCTTCTTTCTATCTCTCCATGCTGTAACAAACACGACAATCAACTCGAAAATATTTTGAGAAGGGGAAAACAAATTTTGTGGAAATTAAAAAATACCTTGTAATATAGCCAGCATAAAGTAAAACGCAGGACAACTGCGCCCCAAGTACTATGGGGTACATGCAGTAAGTCTCGTAGCCTGTATATGTGTCGGGACATTTTGGTTTCATTAAACTCGGGCAAGTTCCACAAAAGTGGACCATGCAAACCTTTGTAAACTCTCTCAAGATCAGCAATATCTATGCCCTAAAAGAAATCTCATTATTAGAATACAATAAGCTAAACATTGGATTTGAAACAAAGTTACAGAAAAAATATTAAAGTTTGAAAGGAGTATGAATAAATCACCATAAACTTTTCATTCATAGTTTGATGTTTCACTTTAAATGTTCGTTAAAAATGTGAGCCCTAGCCTCTCCATTATTGATCACTTGCAAAACCTACTAACCGGATCTTCCTCCTCTTCCACTTCAGGAGACGACAAGTCTGGAGAATCTGGCGCCTCCGGGGAAGGATTAATCTCAGTGCCTACGTCAGAATCTGGCTCTGCCATGGCGAATTACACGATTGTCAGCTCTAAGACATAAGATGTGTTTACATATTTTCAGCCCATGACAGAAACAGACGACAAAACAGTCAACAAATGACGACCGACCAAATCAATGTTTCTCCTCACTACGACTACGGGCAGGAACGGAGGATGAGAATATTACGGCGAATTCAAACGGCCGCGAGTACGTTTTTTTGTGATTTTTTGGTGTTTTTGCTTGAAATATTTACATAAAGTGAAAACAAACTGTTATTTAAAAAATAAATATATTTAAACTTATTAATTTAACATTAATAAACCTAGTGGTTTTTCCTAACATATGATGGTATAGGTAGTTTAATTCCTTCCTTGGCTTCAAAAAATGTATACGATAAAACAATTTCATCTTTAGCATACAATTTTGGATCATCGTCATATTCAGGGTCAATGTAGAAAAAAACTGGCATGTCAACCTGAAATGAAAACAAAAAACTGATACAGGCTTTTGTATAATTGGATTGTAGATAATAGTTGACCAGAAAGCTAGTTACCCAAGTAGCTTCTTCTTCAACTTCACGCCAAGGCGGTAAACCGCGTTAAAATGCACATTGAAGGTGCCGCATTGTAACGCGCATTGCCGCCTTAGCGCTACTAGGGTACCAACCTGTTCATGCGGGTTCAATCTTTGTTCTTCAAAACAGAAGCATTGAATCTTGTTGAAATACTGTCCTGCTTCATAAGGTATCACATTGTAGGTACTAACTCCAATTATTGCTTTGTCTGTGGGGTTTGTGGCTGTATAAAATGCTAGGGCTGTCTCACCAGGAATGACCTGCAATAAGGGAGGGTGAAATATGTAAACTTCCATGTTAGGGTAAAATTTAAAGAGTCTGCATTTTAGATAAATACCTTTAATTGAGTCTGTTGCGGTTTGAAATCCCACAGCATGCCTGCTGCTGTATCAGAAGTAAACCTTATAGTAAGTTGTCGTTCAGGTCTTTTAGAAAGAGTAGATATTTTATTCGCATCATGGCCAACTTGAACTTCTCCACCTAATCCTGTTGTCTAAACATAGGGCAATGGCATCAAATTGTATTATAACAAAACTAAAAATTGTTCTGGTATTAAATTCTGTACAGCTGACAATTTTGATAGGTACTTACCTGACAGAATATTCTATACATGGGTACTGCTGCATAGCTGAGACCAGCGATAAGAACACCTCCAGCAGTAAAGTAGTATAAAAGTGATCGAGCCCCTTCATCTGTACCGTTTGAGGGCTGCCTCCATAATGAATTGGACATATACAAGTGACGTTTTGATGTTAAAGTTGGGCAATTCTTTGCAAGCAAAACTGGCTTTTGTAGACTAACCAGGTGCTTCCATAGGACCATTTTGAAAGGAGAAGATTTCTGTCTTTGTCAAGTTTCTGTGCAGACATGAAACAACATTAGGTTAGGCCCGGGCACGTAATCGCAATTGCATAACAAAATACTGAAGTTGACACACACTGTGGTATTTTCCTTCAAGAAAATCTTTGTAATTGAAATTTATATTTGCCTGTTGGTTGTTTCACACAAAAGTAAATAACGAATGAACAGAAATTGAATGAACACTTCCTAAATTTCTTACTAGAAGGAGAAGGTCGTCACAACTCACTGGACTGCGTCAACCGTTAAAGAATAATGATAAGAAAAATAAAGCCAAAGATAAAAACAACTTGGACAGTCAAATTCAAAGATTTACAATATTTAAACGGTCTAGTACTGTTTGCTTAAATATTCTTTGGTCGAATCAAAAGAGAGTCAACTTACATTCTTGTTATTAAAGTCGTATGTGTTGCTACTTCTGCCTAGCTGTCTGCTCTACGAGCGTCGTCTGCTTGGTCATGAGAAATAGAACGTTACGTAATTTAAATCCTTCAGGAAGACTGGCAGATTAAACAGCATTAAAGTGTTAAGTTTTTATGTTTTTATGGTTATCTCGTATGATTCCAGAAAGATAAAATGTGTAGCCAAACCACATATTAGTTATTAGTTGATTAGTTGGTTGCGTGAATTCGCGGACTTTTAGAAAGGGTTAAGATCAACTGATGAAGCTACAGCTGTCAAACCCCAGTTATTATGTTTGATAATGCTGAGTACCTTTGGAGATGACTTAGAAGTGTTTAAATTTTAACTTAATGACAATCTAGAGGGTAGAGATAAGGTGTTCTACATGGAACTTGCCAATAATGACTGTGTTGCAAAGTGTGAAGCAGCTAGAGGAGCAAAGTGCAAAAAGCTTCACACTAAATTTTGCACTGCGGCTCGGGGTATTTTGTGACTTTAGGGCTTACTCTAGGTGGAAAAACGTCGAAGAGGGTTAGAATAAGTATGAGGATCAGGGACCAGTGTAATGCCAAATGCTCTATCATATATAATTATTACCATTCTTACTTTCCTTTGTCATGCCGATGGGATGTTCAGTTGAAAGCCCAAATCATCTTGTCAGAAGTAGTGTCTTTGAACATGCTAGTTCACGGTGAAGGTTAATTAAATGATTTTGTTTCAAAGGGAGACATTTATAAAAAGTTGACAATTGAAAATGTTAACTGCAAATCTGACAAACAGAGGGACGAACATGAGGGAGAAAAACTATATAATTATGATCACACATGGTTTTGTAAAACCTTTCGCAACCTTTGTATACTAATAAACTTAAGATGCTTTTAAAGCAGAACTATATACAATTTTTTAAAACAATGAATGCAGTCAAATTGTTATTACTTTTAGAAGTTTAAAAGTCTATTGTACAGCAACACGTATTCTGTTGAAGCTGAGCCCATGATCTGCCTACTGCAGATACAAACAGTGGCATTTGAAGATGTAATATCATAATTGTAGCCATAAAATCCGTTCCACTTTTTAGCACCATTCATTTGCTAGTAGGAAAGAAAGGAACAATTAAAAATCATTCCACCCAAAAACCAAAGTTCAATTTTTTAATAATATTAAGTTCTTACAGCTATAGCTTGCTCTTTGGTTATTTTCCCATGAGACAATTGAAACAGAGCATTTTTTAGGAAAATAAGATTTAGCGCAAAGGTCTCATAAATAACTTTTTGGTTCAGACAATAGTGGAATTTTTGAAAATCCCTAACATATTGACTGAAATTGGAAAGTTCTCTGGAATCTGTAAGCAGTTTGATTAAAGCTGTAAATCTGGTTGTTTGCTCACTATTATACTTTTAAAAATTAAAAGAAAAAGTAATAATGAATGTTTGTATTCTTACCAAGTTTGAGAAACCTGTCTTTCTTAATTACTAAATCTTGAATGGCTACACAATAACATCGCTTTGCCTGTAGGATCATTTCATGATTTCCATGAAGTACACCACTAGGTCCAGAGTGGTTTTGAATGAACTGCTCAATATTAGTTATTTTATCTTTCTTATCAGAAGCAACAGCAATGGCTAGCTTGTTGAATAAACCTACTGTTATATTAAAAAATTCTTCTCCTTTCATTACTAATTTGCAAGCCTTGCAGATCCAATCTGTTTGAAGAATATTTGCAGTATCCATGGGAACCACCATACCTAGTTAAAAACGATTTTATGAACATATGAAAAGGTTCAGCTTTACTGAAAAATCAACAACATAGCTCAGGGTAAATGCAGCTGCAGTATACCTTTACAATTGTTGCAAAGCAATGATGACAAGTATAGTCCCATTTCTGAGGGGTCAAAGCATCTCTGACATTTACAAGGTCCTTTTCCCCTCATATTTCGAAAGAGTTGTCTTGAGTATGTTGAAGTTATACAAGGTATACTATTTTCTCTGTATGCACTGAGTATTTGTCCAGCCTTTATATCCGTAGATGCACAAAGTATGAGATCAGCTGGATTTTGCATGTGATATATATATTCTACATTTGGGTTGCACGAATGTTGCGCATAAATTAAGTCAGAAGCATGAAATCCGGCACCCTGAAAATTTAAGATAAAGTGTATTGAAAAGATTTGTGGTGTAAGAAACTATACCAATAAATGTGTAATATAAACTCACCACTCTTGGCACTGAAATGTGGACACCATCTTGCAGCATAGCGATACTCCACAGATTTGATTTCACAATAGAACCTAGTTGCATTATATCTTCTGGTTTAAATTGCGAAAGCTTCAACTCATTTCTTATCAAATGTACAGTCAACAATAATGTCTGATCGGTCTTCTCAAAGTCATTCACACCTTCCTTTTTAAAAAAATTCAATAGCTCTTCTGATTTTCCAGAGAGAAGAACACGGAGGACAATAATCCATGCACCTGACTTAACGGAGATGGTTCGCCAGTCATTCCTTAGACTCTCTAGGGCAGAAAGTAGTTCATTTATCGTGACTCTAGACTACTCCAAACAGACTTACTATGAGAAAAAAAAATAATTAAGGCATATTCACCAGCATTAAAGCGATAGCCTCCATTCTGCATAGCTTGGCATTCCAGTTGATGCAGTTCCGAATTCTCGCAATCTACTCCACATAAAGGCCATCCACAGCCCTCACACAAATACGACATTACATCATATATAATAGGACGAAGGCATCCAAGACACACAGGTTGTGATCCATTCTGTAAAATGTACACGGCTTTTGTGATATTGATAGAAATAGGATTATCATAAAAGAGATGGTTCTATTCTGCAAACTCACCGGACCAACACTTATAGCCTGAGATTGAAAAATTTCTGTACCACAAGGTATGTTTTTAGATGCTACCATTACAGTTGGCTTCGAAGACTCTTTTAATAGCTTATAGTATTCTTTCGACTTAGATGACTCACTTAAAAGTTTTTTGTATTTTTTGGAACACGGTTTTTGATGAACTTTCCAATGTTCTTTTGAGCAAAAATATTTTCCACACTTTGCACAGTCTTGTTTTGCTTTCTTCTCACAGTGAGCACATAGTCCTCTATAGTCCAGTTCCTGGTCACCTTAACACATGCAAGAGAAATGGGTAAAATGTAACCTCATTGACTATAACTAAGGAAGCAAAATGTATTGAAATTACCACTTAGGGAGTCTACTGGTAGTACACCGGAAGCCATTTCCTTCCTCTTCGTCAAATCTCACAAAACCACCACAAGATTAACCCACCACAAGGAATCACACTTAAAACTACGTTTAGTAGCCTAGCCTCGAGGTTGAGGAGGAAAGTCTCGAAGGGTATTCCCCGCCCCGCCAAGGTTAGCAGTTTTTGATTTTTGTTTTGTCTGGCTTAGGACAAAGGTCTAAAGTCTGATGGAAAAAAGTCAATTACAGTAAGACTTGTATGAAATGGTATCAATACACTATCGCGTACCTTTAGTGTCCTTTTCATTTTTTTGACTTTTCTGCAGTAGTTGGTGCAACTGATGGCTGTGGGCATGGGATCACGTGGTACCATGATGGTACAGAAAGGGCGGGACTTATCTTTGCAATCTGCAATAATGCCCAATGCCCGTCGTTTCGGTTCGATCGGTTCCGACACCGGTTTACCTCTTTTGTCTTGATAGTCACCTAACGCCCGTGACATATTCACATCGCATTGCCCCGTCCCCATGCACCTTGCACCTTGCTGGTAATAAAACATGTGAGGAGGTAGGGTATTACAACAGGTTGTCATGGATACGACGAGCACAGGTTTCTGGTACTGGTGACACCTGCAGTAAAATTTACAAGTATATAACAAGATTGTCGGTCATCAACGCGGTAGCACGCGTTCAGATTATCTCATCATCTTTTAAAATAATAAATTTTTGTATCGGAACATAATAATCAGTTGTATAAAGTTCCCACTGTTTGAATGAATTATGTCAGACAGTGAAGAACAGAGTTTACTCAGCAGTGTCTTTGCTGAGGAGAAATTAGAAAGTGAAGCAATCCTTGTTTGTGAAAATTCAAGTAATGCTGTTGTGTGCATGAACAATTTTCAAATATTTAATTCAACACCAAATTTGTTACGGCGAAGTAAAAGTGAACCTGTGCTAAAATGTACTGATGGACCTGAAAATATATCCATTCAGAGTGAACCAATCCATAAGCTGCAAGTGTCACAAATTATCACAGGAAGTCAGCAGAGCCATAGTGATCTTGATGCAGCTCAAAACTATTTAGAAACTGACAGTGAGCTTAGTTTTGGTGATCTGTTTCGTTTAAAAGACTCATCAAGATCCCAAAATCATCGAGATCCTGTCGTCGTTCTTTGGGAAAGGAGCGATAAACAAGAAAATATTGAAAACGATATAATTGTAAAATTTTATCTTCAGGGTGGGGAAGTGTTTACTCAATCATTTTCCAAATTTTCCACAGTTCAAGAGATAAAAAGGGTTGTTTCAGAAATGTTTAAGGTTCCCTTTAGAGTTTTGCAGTTAGATCAGAATAATATTTGTTTGCAGGATACTTTATATGTAACTGAAATAGCGATTGAACGGTTTGGTTGTGTAACTCTACAGCTATCTTCTCTTGAACCTGAGCGTTACCCTTTGGTTTTAAATAATGTTTATCCTGACTTGCCAACCAATGATGTTTTGACAGTAGTTGTGCATTCAGGGGAACATGTGAAGGAAGTTATTGTTGAAATAGAAAATCGTGCAATAATTAAGCCTTTCTTAGGGGGCTACCGTCACAAAGTAACACAGTTAGAGTATCACCATGCATTCACTCAAACTGCCCCGAGGCCATCCAAAGTAAATATCATAAGTCGTAATACGCAGACCCCTGGGCTCAGCAAGATTGTCGAGACTAGTAAGCAGAAGTGTACCCAAACCAGTCAATCCAATGAAGATTTGAAAGGAAATATAATTATAATAGGTGATCCAGAAAGACGCTTGAAAAAGATGGAAATGGAAAACAAGACATTTGAAGAAAAGGTGCTCTTGATTCAAAGAAATTTGCGATCATGGCTAGTACGGAAAATGATGATGAAAATGAAAGAAGAGTACAAAAGGTGCATTTTGTGGGAAAAACAACAGATGCTGCAAATTAAAGAGGAAAAGGAGGCCAAGCAAAAGGAGAGGGACAAAGCACAGACCAAACCTGAGACAAGAGGTCATTTTGAACTGCTTTATCATAATTTGGAAGAGTGGAGAAAATTGGAAACTGATCGCATTAATAATTTGGGTAGCATAGCTCTGCGTAAATCTGAATCATTTTCTGTGCTAGAAATGGAAATTCAATACATCAATTCCATTGAAAGGCAGCGAATTCAAGTTAGAGCTCGTTCATTAAATATTTATACAAGTTTCAATTTCAATTGGAAGGTCAAATTTTAATTTTAAACAATTGATATTTTTGTTCCAGCTTAAAGCAGAGAAGAGCAGGAAGGAACAGGAAAAACTTCTTGAAACAACATCTGCTCCTATTAAATGGAGAGGTGTGCATGGCCAGATTCTGGAATTGGACAGTCTGGGGACTCAGCAGGCAAGGTGTTATAAAGTATTGTATGATCAACTTCAGAAAACGAATGTGAGTGCAGAAGAAAGAATTAAAATTCTCCAGGATGTTAAAAAGATTGTGCTTGATAGAGAAAGTAGCCTCACCGGTGAATTAGTGTCATTATTGGATCGTGAGCAACACATAGTTTTGAGGGACATAAAGAATAGCAATATTGATTCACTACGTGATAGAATCAAGTACATCTTCCTGGAGTTCATCAAAGATCCAGGTATCAATCCAGAGGCAAGAAAATACTTGCCTGAAAATAAGTGCCAACAGGTTCAAACATACAAATGTCTGTCATGCCGAAATATTTTACCCTATAATAAGTTTTCATTGCATAGTAAAGCAAACACATTCAGAAAATGTCATAATTGTTGTTGGCTGAGAGAAATAGGAGGTCCTAGAGTGAATGTAAATCCGATTCGTCACATTTTAAATGCAGTGAGGAGAGAAGAGTTGAAGCAGAGTTCCTATACATCAGTAGCTCTCATCATGCAAGAACAAGATTTTTATCATTTGATTATTAATATCTGGCTTGGTCATTCTGCAATAGGTGGATCTGGAAGTCTAGAAGAGTTACGCTTAAGCCGCTGGGATTTCACTCAAAGCTGGTCCCCTTGGAACTGTATTTTACTCACAGCTGCAGAACTTAAAGCACACTTGAGATTCCCCAACCCTGACCAGATTTATTCTTCTTCTTTTGTCAAAAAGATTAAACAGAGACATCAAATGGGACGAATATATTTTTCTGAATTAGCAGCCTATGCTATTAAAAGAACTCCAGACAACTTGAGAGTAAGCAAAATGGTTAGGAACATTAATGCCTCTAAAGTACTTATCAACATGAATCTTTCAGAGTTAAATGAGAAGGATTTCAAATGAGCAAAGGAACTCTCAATCATTTGTCTCTCTCTCTCTCTCTCTCTTACTCACTCGACAAAACAAGTATTGTAGATTATCATTTTTTTTTATATTTAATAAAAATTCTGAACTGTTGAGACATAGAAATAGTGCTGCATGCAGCTAAAACATTTATTAATAAGATAAACACCTACAATTCTCACAAATTGCTATTTTTCACAATAATTGATTGCGTCAGTTTATTATTGAAAATGATCACAGCTCAAAACTTTGCAAGTAACACATCTGATAAACAATGAACACACTTTTAAAAAATTCTGTCTACAGATAGCGTACTTTTTAAGCTCAAGGTTTACATATAGATTTTCGGTCTTCTCATCATAATAAATTGAGGCTTAACCATCAGGGTCACAACAAAGTTAACAATGAATGGACGGACTTTTATCGGTCTCTGCAACTTGTTTTCAAATCTATGATATGCATATTTGCTTCAGAACTACCACCTAAAACCTGTTGACATGAATAAAGTTAAGATGCTTAAATATTTCTCAGCATTACTTGCAGTTAGACAAGTCATACTTAACAAAACTCTCAACCAGTCTATAAGAGCACCCGAGCAGTGACTTGACTCAAAGGCTGACCAACAAGGAAAATAAACTTCATAACATTACAAAAAGGAGTGCAATGATCACAAAACATGATCTCCCAGAGGAGAACTTCATCTTCAGTCGAAGTATTCTTACAAGTAAAAGAGTAAAGCTTCTATACAACACAATAAAATCTTCCATAGCCTCTAAAATTGACAACATAGAAGTTTGAATTTCTACTAAAACAACAAATTGAATTGAAACTTCAGAACAAGCCACTGCAAAACATGGACTTGAAGTACAAATTTGTGACTCTTGGTTGAAATCTTTCAAACAGGGAGTGAAGAAATGCTTCTGTTCTTTCTTAACACTTACAGGGATGTACAATCCAACAAAACAGATATTGAAGTCTTCATAAACCATACAACTACCTCAATTTACTAGAAACCAAGTGGAAAAAAGAAAACTTTGGCATTGGCAGGACGAAATACGATATATCATTCCTTACCCTCATTATCAAAAAGGTACCAACACAGATACTGTACTCATAATTGGAACAATGAAACACCATTGACCACTGGAAGGGTTAAGTAGAGCCAAAGGTTAAAAACAAAAATAAATAAAATGAGATATTTAAAACAAAATACAAATGAGAGCCCATCGTACAATGTCTAGTTTAAAAAGAAATGCACCTACAATAATAAAAATATAGCAGAAAACTGAAAAATCAAACTATTTAAAAATTGAGGTTTTAAATAAATGATATCACAGACATTGAATCTGTGTAATTGGGGAGGAACAAATCATTGAAATTTTAAACAGTGGATATAAGAATACATACGACCTATCCAAATTAAAGAATTCTGCTGTACTTGATTACAGAGAAATTTAGTTAATGAGATGCCAGACATTGTAACAGCAAGAGGGGGGGAGAGAGAGAGAAAAAAAAAGCATCTGACCTGGAAAGCCAGTCATATTACCAATAGCAGTTAAAGACAGTGGACAGGAGAGAGCTGAAATTGGATAAGGCCAAGCTAATATAGATAAATTTCTGAAAGTAATTCATAAGACTTGGAAATATGTAGGTATTTTCAGCGGCTTAAAAAAAGTGTAGTAACAATAATTCCTAACAGCCTTCCTTGCCAAATATGTAGCAATTAGTATAAATAATTTATCACATTTATTTGGCTGGTATTCATTGCACTACCTTGTGTTTTAGATGATTACACATTAGATTCAATATCCATTTTGAAGAGCAATGATTAGATAATAAATGACATTGTTGGAGGCATTTATCACAGTAAGGAATGAATAACAACTTGTTCAGAATATTAATTTGAAGAAAAAAAAATTACGCAATCTTATCAATTATTAATATGGAAACAAACATCCTCAATATTGGTAATGGTTTACAAGATATTGAGCTGATTTGAAGTGCTAGAACAAACCATGAGTTATTAGAACATACATCATTCATCAGAACTGTTAGCCAAACTATTGCATCAATTGAACATTGCTACATTTTCCTTCCAAAAGTATTCAAGAACAAAATTTTCTTATATGGATTGTCTTAGCGCCTCTTCTCCACAATTAAAAACTTGATTAGGTACATTAAAAATTTTAAGCCAAAATAATATCCATAATGATTAAGTACAACTAGAATCCTGGATTTGATGCTAAGTTTCAACCACCATAGACCTGCTCTACCTTGTCCTAATCATCAGTAGTGCTCCACAAATGGAGACATACAGAGTACATAACTGAAAATTTTGAGCCACTACCAACCTTTACATATTTCATATCAGCATTTCCATTTGACTATTTACAAAGTGTAAGGAACAAAGTAAGTATAAGAGTACATATACATGTATATATACATGTGTGAAACTCAACAATCTGTATATACACACATATATATACTGGCCTCAGTTTTCAAAACGAGAATTGAGCACAAACTAACAAAGTTAGATATTAGACATTTAATAAATATAACATATAACACTTTGTATTTTACAACACACAGCAAAAGAAAAAAAAAATTGGTCTTTATTAGACACATGTTGAATTTTTTTAAGCAAAAGCAAACATGTAGTTTGTTATGTGGTGTTGACTGACTAGCTGAATTTAGGTCATGACACTACAATCACAGAGAATCTCTGTGCCACACCCATTTTTTATTTGTGTGATCAAAGCGGTGCGAAAGCCACTGTTGTTGAAGAAGTTGATAGCGTTCGGGACTGAGGAACAAAGGCTTTCCTCTCCTAAAAATAATTCAAAAAAAAAAAGGAAATTAGCCAGGCACAAAGACTGTTTTCTCAACTTACCAGGTTTTTAAATAACGAATACTCACTTTAATTCTCTGTCTTCCTCTCCAAAGCTGTCTAGGTATACTGAACCCCATAGGCAAGCCCGTTTACCACGTATCACAATTATACAAGATGATGTCACAACTAGAAACACAGCTGTCCCTGCTCCACACACTTCAGCATGCTGAAAAACAAAATGATTTTTAAACATACGAAGTGCAACATTAAAAAGAAATTGGAGTGTATATCTAAGTGCTAATTACAGAGTACAATTTGAAGATGTGTTGATTTCTCACCTGAACTGCTTCACAGACCTCAGATTGCTGGCAACAATTTTCTTTAAAGCATACTAACGTACCACACAAAAGACAGAGTGTAGTCTCACGAGGCACTGAATGACACTGAACACACTGCCGCCGAAGGTAGTACTGAAATAAAAGGTATTGTCAGAAGCAGCTTTGATCAAAAAATATGACTGTGTGAGTAGGCTTAAGACAAACAAATCCATTATTTTATCTAGTAAGCATCCAGATAAAAAATAAATAAAACAAACCTGGAATATTCCATCATAAACTTGAGGTAAACTTAGTAACCTAGGTTGTCTCCACAATTTGTGATGGTCTAACAAGAACGCACGAGCAGTCATTTGAGCATTACGTGCAAAAGCTATCAATTGTTCAGCCCAATCCTTGGGAGGCATATGTCCAGGGTTGCCTGGATCTTCAGCAGGCCAACTTAGCACTACAGCAGAGTTGAATCTGTCAAAAGGGGAACATTTTGTCATGCTGAGACTGGAGATGGGTCTCAAGTTGTTGACTTCACTTAAATACAGTAAAATGCTACCAACTTACTTGGCCAAGTTCATTCCCTCTGAAACCAAATCTAAATAATACACAAGTCTCACAAACTCAGAATTTTCGTCCTGAATTTCAGGGAGAGGTTGCTCATACAAATGATGTCGTAATAAGGCAGCAATGCGTAAAAATGGTAAACATAACTGTTGCACCTGAAAGAATAAGTTGGGTAACTTAGATAATTAAAATCTGACAAATTTGAGTTGAGTGTCTTAACTCCAAGCAAATTAATCTTACTTCATTTTCTAATGCTTTCTTATTAAGCAAAATATTCTGTTCTTGTTCTGATAAAGGTTCAAGTGGAGAGTCTGGATCATCCACTCTAACTACACTACGACGGTGCAAAAATATCATTGGTGGAATTTCTGATTCCATGCTGCTAGTGCTTGGTGCAGCAGCAGAGCTGGAAGGGTTGACTCCAAGAGTTGCTTTTGAATCGACTGGTTGAGAATAACCACTGCTTGGTTGTGATTGACTGCTCGCAGAATCAACTTCAGATGTTTCTAGGAAAATTTGACTTGGCTCTAGCAAACGAATAGTCAAAGCCATTCCAGCTTCCAGGGTTGTAACTTCATGTAAAGAAGGCTGCTTGTTCTCAAAAGCTGCACGCCACACATGACGCTCGCGATCTGAGAGACGACACGCTATCTGAGCAAGCACTTGGAAGTATAGTAAATTATAAAGAACTTTTACTACACACAAAAAGTAAGCTGAAAGCAGGAAAAAATACATGTTGAGTTATAACTTGATTTTCAAGAGAGCAAATTCCTGTGTTTTAGGTAAGGTGTTTGACTTACTTTCATCAATATGCAATGGTAAGAGAAGAACCAGCTGCAAAAGAATTGCAGTAGGATCCCTCAACAGTAGGGGTACTTCTTTTTCCAAGGCTGCTAATGCTGTGGTATCAGATTCTATTTCAACTCCAGCAAGTTGCTGCCACAACCTGCTCACAGGCCATACAGCTAGACAACGCGCATGAATTGCCAATACATGTAGTAGAGGCACGATACAAGAACGCTTTGGAGTCAATGGCGAATTAATACTTTCTAGGTCAGTGCATAGATTTCCACCTCTCTGAACTAGTTCCAGTTCTAAATTTGTGCGAGCAATTGAAGCCACAAATAAAAACAAGCTTTGGTGAGTGGTTGTAGTACTTTTTTGCTTGTATTTCCGAGAAGTACAATTAGTCATATCTTCCATTAATTTGCCCATGGCTTCAGGAAGTGTAGAGGTCCTAACAACTAAGGGGTTCTCAAGAAGGAGGTGACTGATTTCGGACACAATTGAAAGAGAACTAGCTGGCCGTGAACGAACCATAGCAGAACATTCACCAAGTTCAGGAGAGAGTGGCAAGACTGAATTAGCTAACTGCCTGCATATAGGGCATGAGTATTCTCCATGGTCAACATCAAGTGATTGTTGCTGCCTTTGTTGATTTTTCAAGGACTGTAAGTATGATTTATGGCACTCTAAATGCAAATGATGGCCACATGTTTGCAAATGAACACCACCCTCCCACCCTAGATTAACAGATAACTGCCAAGAAAGCTGGAAACAAAAGTTTTATTCAGTGACTAAGAGTTATGGGCTAAGTAAGAAATCAGAAATCCAATAAAAAAAGGATAAAAAAGAAGAAAACTTACATCGTCAAACTGCTCAGACAAGAGTTCTACTCTTCTGTCAAAATTGTCAGACAGTTTGTCTTTTATCTTTAAAAGAGCTTGATCTTCATCATTGGTTGGGAGAACAAATTCTTTCCGGCTTCTTCTATGTCCAAGAACACTAGTTGGCTGAAATGAACGGACAAAATATTGGTGAATTGTATCTATGCTAATTCTACCCTCCACGTCACTGACAGATTTACAGTACTATTTACCTGTAGAAGAACAACCAACCCCATTGGGTTCTCAGCGGTACTGAGAGTTGTTTGGTTACAAATAGCACAGTCATATTCTTTCTTACTGACCATAGATGCTGTTTCTTCTTCTTCCCAATCCATTCCATTCTCATCTACAATAACAAGATAGAAAACCAACAAAAAAATAGAAATTGATGTAAATCTAAAAATAACAGTCATATAATTATAGAAATTTCACCGACCAGTTTCCATAGCCATGGCCATGAACTGCTTTTGCTGGGAAGCAAATTCCTCCATTAATTTCTTTTGCCTCTCCTTGGCACGTCTCCTTCTTTCTTCTCGTTCCTCATCCTCTCGCATCCGTTGGACATCCTTAACTACTTCAGGTTTCTTGCCCCACAACTTTTCCCTAGCATGGAAAACAGTATCTCTATAACAAAAAAGAATTAAAAAAACGACGTTAATTTCCTCTTTTTTAGTGAATATACAACATACACAAATTCTTCACAGGGAGTAGACCTTACCTGCACATTGGATCCAAGCTCATGATATGTTTAAGTAATTTTCCAACAAAGAAAGGGCCATCACCTATGTAATCATTAGCCTGATCCTCATTTTGACCTGATGCTTGAGCAGCCTTTCTTTCCACTTCATAAGGATCAAAGCTATCAGGTGTTTCAGTAAGATTTGAATGAAGTTTTAAAAGAAGTGAAATTATACTTTCATTGACTCTCATGGGTACATGCACATTATCTGATCCCTGAAAATAAAGAAGTGATGAGTAAGAGTGGTAACACAAATAATTTGATGGGAAAAAAGCTAAAAACATACTTGTTTTTTGTGTTTCTTTTTGTAAAACTCCGAGTGTCCAGAGGATGAAGGAGCTGGCTCAACTGCTTGCACACCCAAAGCAACCATGTTGCTTCCAGAAGATGATGCAGCTGGCATTCCAGAAGACCCAACAGCAAGCACGTGACGGCTTGAGGAGGAGGGTACAGATTGCATGACTTGCATGCCCACAGGTACCACTTCCGTGTCCAAACCAGCTACAAAGAGGGGTTACTATTATAGAACAATTTCGATAAGAAATCTAAAGCAGAGGCCAAAGAGTTGCATACCTTGTTCAGTAGAAACCACAGTCATGTCACCAACAACAGCAAGGGACATTGAATGAGTTATTTCCCCTTCACCAGAACTGTCATCATCTTCAGTGCTACGTCCACCAGACACCAAAGCTAGACAACCACCCTCACTTGCAGATGCTTCTGATTCACCAGAGACCAACTCTGCGACTTCATCAGGGGATGCAGGTGATTCCACTTCCATTGTGCCATCTCCCACACCTGGTTGAGGTAAAGCAGGGAGGGAAAATGCACCTGCCTGGCTCGAAGAGCTGCCTGCGATCATAGTGAGAGCAGGAGGAATTGTAAGGGAGAGTGGGACAATAGGGTATCGCTTCGGTGCCTGCGACTGCTCCAATGCCAGTGCATGTGGACCTGGTTCAATGCCAGCAGGACTTGGACCTCCATCCAGCGACAACGACCCCCACTCACCTACAGGAAAATTATAAGTTACACCACCTCACTGAGTCCCATAAAATAGCCGAAAATGAGGTAATTCAAAAAATGCAATCAGGGCAACCAAAACTTCAGGCACTGAACATCCAAAAAGAGCACAAATGTATGAGGAAGAAACCCATGCAAGCAGTGACATACCAGTTGCTACGTTCATGCTCTAGTTTTATTAGAAGTCTTCAGGGGAATTTTGAGGAAGGGTTAGGAGAGGTTGGATGAATTCTAGTGGTTACAGTGGTAGTTAGTCAGATATGTTAAAGGGTTCCTGCACTCCAATCTCAACATCTTCTTTTTCATTTCAGATCGTACAAATTTGGCCACAAACAACACAGTTATAAAACATTAATGAAAATTACAGTATTGCAATTTATGCACTGTAGATAAAAATAAAAAACTGTAAGTCTACCTATTTTCAAAGCTTTGAAACTGGGGTGCGACTTGGATTCAAGAGAGGTTTTTGCAGGAATCTAATGGGATTTTCACACATTTGGGGCATGGTTCATAATTGTATGAATACAGTACAATAAATAGATAAGGCAGCAATCAAGATGCCCTTTGGAATCCAGAAAAAGTACAGAGATTTTGATGAGAAAAGCATAAAGCATATTTTAAACAGAGGGGGAACCAAGGTCCTAATTACTTACTTTCTGAGCTGTCATATGATGTCTGGTCCATATTGAGCATCACTGAATGCACAACAGTGCGAAGGTTACTGGAGAGCCAATCGGAATCATACCAGCTCATTAGGTCTCCATCTTTAACCACATGCTGTTCACGGCGTCTTGAAGCTTGGCACACCTAGAAAATGAGATTTCTTTAATGGGTACCTTGTTATTTCAATTAGAAAGTGTTAAGTTAAATAAAAAAGAGCAAAAAATGAATACCTGACTAGGTTCCTCTGCAGGAGATTCAATTGAGAGTGCCATTTCAAGAAGATACAAAGTCAAAGCAATAACATGGTCTGAGACATCATGACCATGAACTGCTTTATGCAAGACAATGAAAGCAAAAGCATGAAAAACTCTTGACTGTAGAACCTTTCGAGGATCATCATAAGCTGGATGACACTTTCCAGGCATTCTATAAGGGGGCCATGGTGGTCCAGAACCTTTGAACTTTCCAGTTTGATGAACACTGGAACACAGGGGATAGATTATTTCTTGACATTCAATTCCCAATCAGAATAATTGAGGATATTCAAACAAATCAAAAGGATACTAACTATTCAGTAAAACGGTCCATTGAATTTTGAAAATCTCTTCGGTGTACAGCTCTAAGAAGAACATGAATTGGATTGTACAACTTGTCCCAAATCCATCCTTTGGGGCGGTACATTCCTTGTTGCATATTTCCACTGGACTCAAAGTTAGGAGCTCGATAGTCAGCAACCTCAGCCAAGATGGATTCAAAGTCTCTACTCTGAGGAAATGGGTAACATTTTTCAGGCATCAGTTCAATAAGCTGGCTGTGGGTCTTATCGCCCATACACAGCAGAGTTCCCATTTCTAATTCTGATATAGAAGCTTCACTGTCACCTGATAAAAAAGAAATATTAAACTTGGACATAATCATTTTTAGTGTATGCTATGAAAAATAGGTTAAAAAAAATTGACATACCAAGATAATTTCTTATGCTAACGAGGGTTGCAAGAAATAGTAAACAGCTTTCAAGCATAGGTGTTTCTAGCTCACTGTCTAATAGGTGTTGGGGATTGGTAAATGTTGCCAAACTCAACCAGTCTTTCATGTGGAATTGATCCAAAACTGTTGTCAGGAAAGTCTCTGGTTGAAGTTGGGTGGCACAAACTTGTAGCAGATACAAGTCAGCATCAACCATAGAATTGCAGAAATTGCATTGAATATATGTCATGGCCTGTCCCTTTATTTGCAAGCCATTACGAACCCACAATCCACTGACGATCTCATAGAAAGCCGCCTGAAACAACCAGAAACATCAAATATATTAATGACATTCCTTTAGCGTGGGGAAATGAAAGGAAATTTTATAAAATTTTAACAATAACACCTATTGAGTAGGCAGAGATCATGTCGTTGTTATCACCCTTTTGAGCCTCAGCTTAGGCCCCCAATATTATAAGGCCAACAGTCCTTGACTTACGGACTTTGAACATTTACCGGTGACCCAGCCAGAAATGCCAAGTCTCAGACGTCTAAGAGGACCATTTAGACGTCTAAGGGGACCATTTAGACGTCTAAATGGTCACCTTGGACATGGCATTTCTGGCTGGGGAGAGCCGAACGGAGCCGAACATATCGCGTAGATGCATTAGAGTAGGTCGGACCACGGCGCGCTACACTGAACTCAGCGTGCGAAGGCAGGGCTCCCACAATATTCCCTCCACCAAACTGACCGGACCATGCAAGCTAAACTTGGTACGCAGCTTCGCATCTTTGGCTGTTGCAGCACAGAGGCCGGACAAGGGAGGCCAGCTGCACTTGTCTCTGACGCTGACGCGTTAGCATGGGAACCAGTTCCACCCAAACCCACCAGGTCAACCTGAAGCGAATCCAAAAAACAACCCCACAGCCACGTACAGCTACATCAGGGTACGTGACAGACGTGACAAAATGGGGATGTAGTGTTAGACAAGTATACATAAGTCCGACATAAGTCTTATACTTTGCGGTCGGACACCAGCTTAGAGTAGAGGTGCTCTACGGTTTTAAGACGGCAACTTTAGCTCATTGTAGAGCCAGCCCCACACAACGGGAAAAGACGAAAAGTCCAGAAATGTGTAATAGAGGACGCGTGGTATGATAATTGTATTAAATGAATGTGGCGTTAAGGGGGTTGTTCTATTTACAGTAGTCACAGTATACTTATTTAAGTCACAGCACGGTTCTTCGGAGGCTCCCCCCCCCCCCTCCTTCCGGTCAGCGTCGTATCGTCACTGCCTTGCCAAGAGAGAACACGATGGGGGAATGACCGGGAGAGAACAAGAGAAACCCCTGTCAGGAGCGCGCGCAAGAGGGAAGTCTGAAGACAAAACGGCCAGCTGGAGAGTGGTGTGACCGGTGTGAGGCGGGGGAGGGAAGGGGAGGGGGCAAGAGGAGTGGAGAGACTACAGTCTTTCTAAAGGGAAGAGAAGGGAGACCACGAGAGACACGCGCGCGAGCACCTCACTCACCGTCAACAAGTATTCTGGCCTAGCTAATTTGCGACCAAGGATAAAGAAAGATGAAAAAAAAATGAGGGGAAAAATGAGGAAAAAACACGTCCGCGCTCTGCAATCAGAGGAAAGGCAGTGGGGGGCGCAGCGGGCAGCCGGAGAGTTTGGCGACATGTCGCAAAGAGACGTCAGCGACGCCATCCGCCTGCCTACGCCCACCCACCCACTGGGGCTGCACATTGCGCCGCGTGTCTGGTCTCTACTCCAGCGGCGCTGTAGTTGCGCTGCGGTGAGACACGCACCAGCAACCTGCTGGCGTTCTAGCTGGCATTAGCTTGAGTCCTACATGACTAGGGGTTTTTAGGTTCGATTTGTTTAGGAAAAAATCTTTAAAATTTTACAAGAAAAAAATTGAAAAAAATAATATCTTTGAAAATTTGCCAAAATTTAAAGAATTAAAATTACTCTACAGGACCCCCCAAAGGGGCTCCGGGGGAGGAGAGTCCCTTGCGCCTCGCGCCCTCGCGCCTCTCGCGAAGTTGTGGGGCGACTCGCCCAGGTCACGACAAGGTGCTTTGTTTAGCGACGTCGCACCCCCCCCCCTTTTCCCCACCTCCACTTCTGTACGCTTCCACTCGCAGCGTTGGCGTTATTCGCCTTTCCGAGAACTGACTCCGCGGTCTCCGCGCCAGGACGCCGCCACCCGCCCGGGCGGCCGCGGTGTTCGCGGGACGCCTCGCGGCTGAGTCACCATAGTCGCCAGTCGCCCGCAGTCCAGTCGCCACGGTGGCCTGCGCGAAAGGGGGGAGGCCCTTCTACCGAGAAAGGCCAGCTTCCTGCGGTGGACTCGTGCGCAACTCCACTCATATATGAGCCATTCGGACGACACGGACGTCACGCAGAGGGGGGCAGGGCGCAGGCGGCCAGGATGCATGGAGGAAGTATGGCAGGAAGCCGTCAATAGGAGGAGAAGGGACACGGGAACAACGGGAGCGCGACCCGCGCAGTGACCCCCAGACAGCCGCACCCTTATCTCCTGCTGCAGTCCAGCGGCAGCGACCTTGCCCTGAAGCCAGTCAGTCAAGCCGTCTGACCACCCGTCTCCATTCACTGCTCGGCGCGGGATACAACGGTTCGTCGCAGTCGCGAGCGGACAGGAGGAGGAGGGAGGGGGGGGGTAACTCAACGCCCGACTTCCGCCCCTCCACAGCCGCGAGCAAGCCCGCGAGTGTGGGGCCGTGATAAGGGAGCCCCCGCTCTCCAGGACCTATCCCATTACACAAACAGATAGCCTTCTGCAGCAGCCCAACAACACCCAGCGCAGCGCGCGGGCTTTGGAATTCCCCCGCGCAGAGCTCGGCTGGACTCCACACTATACAGCGCGGCACACACGCGTGGCCGGGGGGGGGGGGGGGGGGTCAAACACTGTGGCGTCAGCGGAATGAAACCGTAAAGCAGGCCGCACCGGTACCACCCACCGGCCGGCCGCCGGCCGACGGGAAGGGTTGGGTAACCAGGACAACCCGGTCGGCGAGACGAGGGCCCCCTATGCCGCGTCTCCGAGAACGAAAAGAGAAGGGGGGGGGGATAAACCAGCAGGTGCGGGAGCTCGGCAGGAGCCCCGATCATCCAAATGAGTCCTAATGACTTCCAGCGACTCGTGTGCCCGATTGGGCGCGGAGGGGAGAAAAGATTGGGGGGAGGGGGGTATCAAAGTGACGAGGAGGAAAGAAAACGGAGTGGGGCGCAATGGAGAGGGAAGGCGTGTAAACAGCTAAGCTATCCGAGCCGAGCCGGGCCGAGCCGAGCCAGCATACCGCGCTGGTGGGGCAGAGACAAACAGGTACGGGGCGGGGAGCCGCAGCCAGTCCAGTCTCAGTAGTGCCTGCCTGCCCCGCCGGTCCGCCGGTCACCAGGGAGACGCGACGTCTCGGTCCGGCCCGAGTGACAACACCGCGAGAGACGCGTCGCGAGACGCAATCGTCGCGACTGGCCGCGCTCTCCGCGTCGCGGGCCGCAGCCAAGTGAACCACGACCACGACCGTGCCCTGCAGTGACCCGGGATATACGGCACACGCGTCGGCGGACAATGTACGGGTAACTTTTTCCGGCACGGGCCATCCCGCTACACTTTCCCCCCAGAAGGCGGCGCGCTCTTCAGTATGGCCTCTTCCGAAAGGGAGAGAGGTCCGCTCTACAGCGCAATGCAGCGCGTTCGTTCTAGGTTTCTCGGGTCGTAATGTCTTTGTGCCGCTAGAACCGGGCGCCGCGCCGCCTCCGACGCCTTGGACGGTGATTCACAAGTCCTGTCCTTGAAAGTTACCACCTGTGCTACTACAGGAGGGGGAAGGAACGGAAAAAAAAAGGAGGGGGGATGCGAGGGAGGCAGCCAGCTGAGAGTGAGACATTAGAAGTTTAAAATGAAATTTAAGATTTTCCTTCCTAAAAGGCATTTTCTTTCTCTACAGATTTCCAACTAAATCAACACTAATTATACTTCAAAATGGTATCATCAAAGACCCTATTGGTGCTTCTGCTAGCTCTTGCTATTGAGGCTCAAGCAATTAATGTGGCGGAACCAAGTGCTGTGGATGTAGCTCGCATGAAAACCATATTCTTGACTCAACATTTGTGGAGAAATGTTTCAAATCCTCACTTCACCACCATGGTGCGACAGGAAACATTGGAATCCACAATGCATCTGATAGATGCACTTGAATCACTTTCAAAGGCCATGAAAGAAATTGATGTTCCCTCAGTAGAAGAAAAATTGCACTTCATCTACAGATGGGAACGAATACAGGCCCACTCCCATGGAGTGCATTCACTGTTTGAAACTTTTGCTACTTTCATGAGAAAACAACAAGAAACCCAACAAATTTCATCTAAGAGAGCATGGCTAGATATTGCAGAAACTCTTCTGCAAGATCTATCTTCATCAGAAAATATTCACAAATTAATCTTGTCTGCAGCTGATAAAAAGGAAAAGAACACAACAATTTTTGAGGCAGCTCTAAGGGTAAGTTGATAAGTACAACATGTTTCGTATTTTGTAAGATAAATTAAAGACAGCAGTTTTTTGCACTTGTTTAAACCAGGAACACACCAGCAACACATGTGACAACAAGCAATCGACACAACTGATGTTGTACAATATGTATGCTGGAATGCAGCTAACTCAATTGAAATCCTACATTATGGGGCAGAGTGCCTGTGCCTTGCTGCAAATATTTGAAAAGGGTAGGAGATTGAAGAAAACAAATCTAAAAAAAACTGACGCAATAAGTGAGCAAAGGCACATTTCAGAGAAATTTAAAGGAAAATTTTTACCTCATCACAGGTGATTATGAGGAGAGAGCCAAGCAAATGACCGAACTTCTTACTAAAAGAACACAACAACAAGCAAGTGCTGTGCTCAGGGCAATGAAGCAAGCAAGCAGAACAATGTTGCGCTGTGACCCAAGGCATTATGAGGAACACAAAACTTATGAGCAGTTCACACGTCTCCTCCAGGTAATAAGATAGAAGAAATACAGAGGTTGTTTTGATGGATCATTTCTCGTTTAACATTTGCTTCTTTTTCAGGGCTATATAGAAAATGAGGTAGATATGAACCCAAATCAAAATTGTCGAGGAAGTTGCAAAAATTATGAATTTACTGAGAGCTACGGATGCTACAATGATAAATTTTGCAGTCAGCAGCCAAAATGTGAAGGACGTATAATTGACTGCCAATTTATTGAATCAGACATGAAAGTTTGTCAATCTGTAAGTACTAATAAGAGAACTGATAACATAAAAGCTCACAAAAGTTTGTTCCTTTTTTAATTTTGTAATTTGTTTCAGCATCCAGGAGAAGTTAGGCGATATGAATATATAGAGTATAAAAAAAATACTTTGCTTGGAACAGATCGAATCACTCACACACCTGAGGCCAATTGCACTCTTGTCACTGTAAACAGCTGGTGGAGATTCTTTCTCCCAGCACATTGTTCTTACTGCTTCTGTTTGTGTGATGAACCAAGTTCCCTTTCTGATCGTTTTGTTAGCTTAAGCCCTGAAGTGGCTGATGTCACCAATAACAAGTGTGTTTAACTGCATAAACAGCTAAATCTAGTTGAGTTTCAACTGTACAACAGATTGTTTTTCACTGTTCTTTTTCTTTTCCAGAGTTATTACTGGACTTCGTTTTGTGAAGAAAAACAGAGTGATCTACCTTCAAATACAGGAGGGTTCTTTACTACCCCATGGAGCAATCAATGCTTCAAGCCTTCAATGGAAACCAGTCAATGCGAGTAAAAACGAGTACAAAATGTCCTGGGAAAAACGTGACATTGATCTTGATAACTTAGAAGCGCCAGAGGGGCACGTCCTCACAGGTAAAGAGAGAGATAAGAGGAAAGTTTAGCCTTGGTTTTTGCAGGTGTTAATAAAAACTATTTCTACAGGGATCCGCTTCCAGGAAGTTGGCACCCATTTGAATATGGAAATTATGGTGTCACCTCTAATTTATCATAAAGGTATTTTGAAAAGACCAACTGAATTGAGTTACTGGATCGGAAACTCAAACACGGACAGTGCCTTAGAAAATCCGAGGTACAGTATTATATGTGCAACTATTGAGACTTCTGATTGAAAAAAGAACATGACCACTAATTGATGAGGCCTTTTTGCAGATCTGAACTAACACTTTCTTCCAAAAATGTTCCACAAGACACAAATGGACCATGTAAATTGGATTCACAGCATGACTCATTTCTGAAATTTACTCACTCCGACATAGTAACTGATGCTGCACAAACAACAGTTCCATTCCTGGACATTCAGCCTGTAACACTTGATCCGCCCACACTGCTTGGAGGAGCAGGGCTTTACCATAAAGGATCAGATAGTTCATCAGGATTTGTTGCATTAAAGGTTTTTAACTATGACATTTCAAAGCATGTCATTGGAAATGAACTTAGATAACTGTTGTTAAGTAAAATTATCTTATGTATTCAATAAAATATCTTTGCACTCAGTTAAAGAACTTAAAAAAAGTCTGGCTGTGAAGCTCAGTGAATCACTACATCTTGCTAAGATCAGAGGGAGAAAGTAATGCTCCTCGTATTCTAGCAAGAGAACAGATACTTCATAGATAAAATAAATTTTGTCTAAAATCATAAGTTATTGTTGTCTTTGTCATAAGCCCCATGGACTACCCTATCAATCTAAGCCAATATATCTAGTTGTCACAGATTCAAAATTGAAAGAAAATGTGACAAAAGTATTAAGGGCCATCATGGGCTAACTCATTTCCCATCCAGACATTTACATACTTTTGATCCTCTAATCATTTCACAGCCCTCATCATGCAACCCCTATGGTAACATGCAGCATTACTACAAACTCGTCAGCCTGTAGTTCTTTTTTAAACTTACCTGAACTCGTAGAGGATGAAACATGATAAGTTGAAGTACATCGGATGGAGGAAGAACATCACGTAGAGCCAGACCTTGACGTCTGATGGCTTGGCACATGAACACAGCAAGGTATCGATGCAAGGATAAATGAAAGGAAACCTGATATTTGTCTTTCTGTTAACACAACAGGAAAAAAAATAATCCAGCATTACAATCATGTCTAGATGAGATAAATTAATAAATATGGATATTATTAGAAAAATACCTCAATAGGATGCCTAAAATTAATTGCATCAAGCCATTCTTGGAGTGCTGTTAAACAACTAGCAATTACACGTTTTGAGTACTGCAGGGTTGATTCCTCTCGGAGATGAGAAAGAAGTGCCCACATTGGATAGGCACATGCCTCCAGTTCCGCAGAGAATGCAGCATAGTATGTATTTGGCTCAAATTCTATATGTTGCGTCATCTCTCTTTGGTTAACATTCATGCCTATCAGGAAAAACTAATAATTAGTACCGGAAGGTGGATTTTGTTCAAAATTAATGGAAAGGCCATTAGATAGAGAAACTTACCTTGAAACATGGAAAGAAAGACAAACCACATTTCCAGCAAACTGTCACATCCCATAAATTTTAAAGCAACAGAGCGATGAGACAAAACATTGTTCAGATCTGACACCAGTGGCCAGTAGCAATGCTCTTTCATAACAGCAACACCACAATCCACTACATAATGGAAATTCTTTTCAGGCTCTAGAAAAGGAATTAAAGTGGATACTTAAAAATAGCTCTCGTTATTGAGATCAAAATAACAAGCACATTTCTCATAGATGATTAAGAGAAAGAACGGTCACGGTCCTCACCATGTAATGTGTTTTGAATTAGAAGCTTGCTCATCATGTACTTCAATGTAAAAGTCATCACATGCAAAAGATCATAATTATCAGCCATGCTCATTGCTAATTGTTGGTTGGAGAATAACTGAACACTCATGTGAACCACTCTATTAGACATTGAATCTGGATCTGATGAGCGCTCCAGCATTAAAGAAATTCTGCTATAATGTAGCACCAAAGCTTGAGTGAGTGCCTCCTAAAAACAAAAAAAATAGGCAAAAATAAATAATAATCAAGATAATTGTAATATTATAAGAAAATGTTTGAATCATACCTTGTAATCTGGTTCAGGGAGTAAATTTAACAACAAGCAGACCATCTTTTGAGGAAACTCAAATTTAATATTCCAAAACATAAGTTCTTCTAAGAAACAATGATGGACTAAACGCTTTTGTAGAGCTATGCAGTCTGCAATGTTAGATAAATGAAACACACATATTTAAAAAAAAATTGCAATACGTGCTTAAAAGTTTTAAGATACACCCTGGCATTAGATTTTCATTACCTTCAAATTCTTCGGGGGGATCTGGATTGAGTAGTGTATCTAAAGCTGCTTCATAAACTTTTGCACTAGTTCTCATTGAGGCAGACGAAGTGGGAGTGCATTGGGTCAAATTTTTATAAACCTAGAATTAGTAACAAAAATTTTTACTATCCGTACAAGACACAGGAAAAATTAACTTTCTTATATAAATAGTGTTGGAGCATACCTGAGGATTGGTTAAAGTGTTGGCCATCACACGGCGCATTGCTGCACCTAGCGAACTGAATTCAACTAGCATACTGAGGAATAAATCTGCATCCTGAACTGCTGCTGACTGTACTTCAACCACACTACACAAAAGAAACAAGACAAAACTGTGAAAAGGAGGCACAGGAAATGTTATAGAAGAAAGTCATTATAAAAACATTACCTGCTATCTCTAAAGTATTGAATAAGACGAAGAAAGACTCTTGGCATCATAGCCTCCGCAACATTGAGCAAATCAATGGGTGCATTGGGTTTATTAGCTTGGGCTTGTGGACCATGTCTACTGCAAAATCTAGTACACAGGAAAAATAAAAACTGTTATACGACATTTGAGTATACCATCAATTACTTACTTGAAAGATATTAAGACTAAACGTACCCCATTTCTTTCATGACATTAGTATCTCCACAATCACAGGCTCCTCCAGCCTGACTTCTAAACATGTTGAAATCATGATTTATATGATTACCCTTCTGAAAGCACTCCAGGCACAACGACATACATGGAGAAATACCACATGTTCTGCATCGGTATGCAACAAAGTTTGCAGTCCACACCAGACCACACATAGATGCATTATCATACTGCCGTACTGAAAAATAAAAAATAAAAATATATATATATATATACATATGATTTAAATTTACGGTGACATTTCTGGAGTAAGAAGACATTTGATTCAATAACTGTATCCATAGGAAATTACAACAGGACAGTGCACTCCCCTCTCAATATACAGATTGGAATGCTGTTCTAAAATTGGATCACATACAAGTGCCAAGGTGAAGATCACTGTACATGAGCCAAGGGTTTGACATCAACTTGCAATGTCTACTCAGTATAATTTTTTTTTAACTGCATCCAGATTGTTATTTTACAGATAGCAAAATATGGCATACAATATTAGAACCACTTCAAAAAGAAAAATAATTTTAAAATAATCTCGATTCCAGATTAAATTTTAACAGCAAAAGAACAGTTTTAAAAATGTTGAAAGCAATTAAGAAAGAGTTACTAAAGTGCTTCCAAATGCAATTCTATTAATCTGTTGATACATCCAAATCAATTGTTCATTCATTCATCCATCCATTCATTCGTTAGTCACAATGAATGAGGTTCATGCAAGAAGTGTATAATACAACACTTTCAGGTTGAGGTGATCTGTTTCTTAAGACACAAAGAGAATATTTGTCTTAAAATAAACTTGAATGTGTGCCTTCATCTTCATTCCAGAGCACTGTCACAGTAAATACTTCATTTGAATGCCGGTCTGTACAGTAGTACGAGGATAAGAAGTGTTCCAAGTAAATACTATGAAAGTAGTCATTTAAAATATGAATGAAATGAAGACAACACACAGAATGTCAAAGAAAATGGCAAAATTGTGCAATGTTAGGAGGCAACTGATTCATTCATAAGAGTGTATGCAGTAAGATGAAAGTGAACGCAGATTTTGATTAATAAATGTTGCGTACTGTCACCTTTTTACTAAACTTGGAATATTTAGGGTAACGAGAGATAGCAGGGCCCAGCTGAGCCCAAGTACACTCGACCTTCTATGACCATAACCTCTAAAAGTAGACATGACACAACTGAGAGCAAGATCGTACCAATGTTGGTGAACTCGTCCGGTGTGTGACCGCCGGCGACAAGCCAGCGGCACCAATCAATTGTTTCCCAATCATCTATATTGTTTGTCGGGTTGAGAAGAATGTCCAAAATCTCATTCAGACGTTGAGAGTGATTACTGCAGCAATCTTTGTGCACGTACTCCGCCGCCGCCCGCTTGCCCTTCTTCATAATGGCTTGAGCCGTAGGAGATGGAAGCGGATCCATTGTGAACCACTATCTCCTGCGATGCACCTGTCTTTGTCATCAGCATTTGCGTCTAATTGGAGACGTGATCAGAGCTTAATGTGCTGACTTAGGCCTTCCCAGGCATAGTATGTTACCGATCAGTGTTCACTTGACCTCCGGTTCTATGCACACTCGACCGACAATGAAGTAGAGTTTGCCAGTTTTTGCAAACACACAAAGTGCATTTGCATTGTGCGTTCACTTGATGGCGATAGTCAACAAATACACAGCGTCCAAGACAATCAGAATCACAAACTTTCCTTTTACAACAACACGTTAACCCTGATTACACGTCTCTGCGGATAGCCGTAGTTTGTGAGGTTTACGGTCATTTCCAGATATCAACAGCGCCACCGTCGCTAACGCCGATGGCGATGACTTCAGATGACCGTTTTGCGACCATCATTCTTCGTTCAAAGAAGGTTGGGGCAACTGTTTGAGCACAATGCAGTATTTAATATAATTCTTTATGAATAAAAGTACTAACTTTTTCCAATCTTCAACTCAAAATTACTGAACTTCAGGAGTAAATTCGAAAATATGCACACTGTCTGTGGAGTAGAGGGCGGTGACCGCCAGTTTGCCCAAAATGCAACAAGAAAATTTACTCCAAGAGATAACTGCATAGCCTTTCCAAATTGAAGGAAATTTTCAATTTACGTAATGAGAGTGTCCCCAAAACTAATGGAGTCTACTTGCATGGTTCTTTATTCTTTGAATCTCCTTTCCATGCAATTTTTCATTTGTGACCAGTTGGTAAACTGGGTAAAATCAGCGCGGTTTTTAAAACGACTGAGTCTCTTTCTCAAGCCACCCTTCTTAGCTTGGACCTCAGCCACCATACAGTTAGTGTTAACAGTCCTTTTATTAACAAAACAGAAAAGGATATATGGTTTCCAATAAACGGGCACAAAATTAAAGACCAGTGGAGTTTATTTTTATCGACATGCTATCGATAACAGTCAAAAATCAGTTCATTCTTGCCACATGTGCTTTGACAATCTGTTTACAAACATAAATATGAATACAGAAATATCAATTTTTTTAAAAAATCACAGCAAAATTAGTATGCTAAACTGATGAAAAGTGAAACAGACAAAACAAAAAATTGTCTGCACTCTAATTTTTTGTTGATTCAATGTTAAGAAAAATCCATTTTGAAAACAAAAACATCAAACCAAAGAAAAAAAAATAGCAGATGATTCCACTGAGTTCTGCTACTGACTATCCATGTATTGAATTTCTGACAACAGTAACAAAGTTTGAGGAAGTGGTCTAGGTTGTGGTGACAAGACCGTCAACATCTGTCTTTCAGAATCAACCTTAGTTCTGCAAAAATAAGAGTATTAAAGGATAGGATTACAAAAGTTGTAAAAGAAATGAGTAGAAAAAGTGAAGCACTTACACACAGATAAATCCTGCTACATTACTTGTGATAACTTCTTCCTCCAATGAATTTGCAAAACTAACGGCTAATATATGATTTAAAATATTATTTCCTGCAATTAAAACGTTTCAGTTTAAATACCAGTCTACTTCAAAATTAAACACTAAAATAGTGTTATGAAATTATCTGTTCCATACCTGGTTGTACTTGAACAAGCTTTGTTTTATTATCATCCGCTTTCATACCAAGAGGCATGCAAGAATCAGGCAAAGATGGTGCACCGATTTTATATATCTTGACATCACTAAAACGGACATCAAATGAATGTGGATACAAAGGTGAACGCACACCATAAAAATATTCCCTAACTCTTGCATCCCGAGCTTCTGATCTTACATTTTGGCTCCTCTCAACAACCTGAAAGCAATTGCCTATGAGTACCACAGAAGATATAAAAGGAAGAGCACAAAGACTGAGATGTACATAGTTGCACTGCTCACCCCTCCATTTTTTGGTATGAAAGCAACTCTAACAAATGGAGGCATGTCACGAACAAGTTCATTGTAAAGCCTTTCCTGGTCCAACACAAGTATTACATCAACTTCAAATGTTTGTGCAATGTGCGTAAGGGACTTGTATCCACTTTGTTTGACCCAACCACAAGTATTTATGATTACTCCAGAAACATTAGCTGGGAAGAAAAAATGTGTATACATTTGATAATTTAAGCAACATTTTTAAAACAGAAACAAAAGGAGTGCATTTAAAAAAATTGAAGTTACAGTAATTCAGTCTTACCTTTGCGATTAGCTTGCGTGCGTTCTTTTATACATTCTGCTAGTGCAGAAACAAGTTTATTGAATAGCTTTATATTACTACCAGGTGATTTGTGTCCAAAGTGGTAAACAATTGGGGCTTGTTGAGAGAAGCCTTCCTCGACAGCTGCTGGCCTTTCAACTAAAAGTGCACCTGTAAGTGTGAGTAAGTAATTTTAATTAATTGAGTTGTAAAAATGCAATCCATCAAGAATTTATTTTGAAACAACTTAATTTGAAAAATAAAATAAATTACCAATTGTCCCAGGAATGGACACATGTCCCTGACCTACATCAAGATCAACAAATATCGGTCTACGCCCCATACGCACAGCATAGTTGAGCAGCAAACGGCATAGTGTTGACTTCCCAACATCTGTTGGTCCTACAACCATCAGTACAGGTCCATGAAGTTCAGTATTTTCCTCTGCTTTCTTTCGCATTTGCTCTAATCCAGCATGACAATTTAAATACATGGCCTGAAATTATCATTAGAAATTTAGACCAAGTATAATAATTGAACAAAATTTTAAAAGTGCAAGAGAGTATTGTTTACCATAGGAGTCTCTTTTGCAACATAGCTAACTTCTGTTTTACCGCGGAGTTCAATCGTAGCTCCCTGCCATGTGAATACCGCAATTTTGGATCCAGCAAGAAATGTGTATGCCTTTTCCTTCACTAGTTCTGTACCAAAAACTTCAGCCATTCCAGCACGAACCTGAGAGGTAAGAACAGAAATGTATATGATTGGTCAGTCAAAAATTGCAAATTATTTTCACAATAAGTATTATTTAAGCACAAACGCAGTAAATCCTATTTTAAAAAATCGATACAGGTTATTAAATGCTGAAAAGCAGTTGCCTTCATGATAGAATTCAGAGGTTATGTTTTTATTCAGTGACAGATATGTGAGTAAACACCTACCGACATAATCACTTTGTTCTTTCCGTCAACTTCAAACCTAAGTTCATTTTCAGGCCCTAATTCAAATGATTGGACCGGATCACTTGATCCTTCAGAAGCAAGAGTAGTCATGATGATAATAATATCAAAATACTAAAAACATTAACTTTTTCTTTCTTCAGAGAGTTTCACCGGTCTGCAATGACAGCCATATTCACATTCAGAAGGAATGTGTCCACGGGGTATGAGGCTAGGCTTAACTATCACTTGTATCGTATTTTAAAAATACATATTCAGAAATTATAATGATAAAATCAATAAAATAGAATATCTCTATCAACTCCTAACAATAGTTTGATCAAAATATGAAGAATCACATTTCTAATCCACCAAAAAATAATATAGCCTCGCACTATTGTTGAAGCTGAATCGACATATACCCTACATATTCAGTTAACGGCGGACTGCGGCGGACGCTGATATGGCGTCGAGGCGGTGTTTTGATTGACGTTATTTTATTGTTGTCTTATCGTATTCCACCTTCTGTCCTCTATTTCACAATTTTAAGCGAGGTAATATTCTTCCTTTGTCATTGTATCAGTGCAAGTCTTGACTCCGATTAGCGATAGATTTATTTGTCGGGACTCTTCTGGCCGCCCAACCTAGCCTCTAACTCCAAAATGAGCGTTTAATTATTACTGTCTGTTCCTACGTTTTGCCATTATATTTTCATCTCGTCTGTTCACAGAAAAACAGCACAATGAGCACCAATAGACCAGCATTTGCCAATTCGTTGGTAGCAATGTATGGCAGTAGCCCAGAAACTTCAGATGATGAAGACTCAGACTCCGGTCATAAGAAGACTTCCAAACTGCCTCCTGAGAGCAAAGAAAATTCTGTGGATAACCCTCAAGATGCTGATTGTGTTTCTGAAGAGGCCAAAGATTTGAATCTTCCTCCAAGTGCTCCCGCTCTTGAAGAAAACACCTCCAACAATCCTGACTCGAAGATTTCTGACGCACTCTCTGAAGCAGAAGAATCAGTTGAGGACTCTCCGCCTGTTGAAGTTGAAGGTGCTAATCAACAGAGTCAAGATAGAACAATTCCAGATAGTAGTGATGTACAAAATGTTGCAGTTTCTCGTGTAGTATCTGATGAAGACAATGCACTCCCTGCAATAGAAACAGTCAAGGCAGTTGAAGATAGGCTACCAACCGACAGCGAGAGTAGTATTGAAAATATCGCTAAGAAAGATGAAGATCTGGCAGAGGACACATCTGAAAACAAGTTACCTATGCCAGACACATGTGGTACCTCTCCAGACACACCAGTTGATAGTAAAGACCCTGAAGAAAATATTGAAACATCTACTAAAATAGATACTTACCCTAAAGCCATTACAGAAATTTCACAAACTCTTAGTGCATCTCCTAATTCAGAAATGTCTAGCGCAGATGGCCCTGAACATGATGACAGAAAGGATGGTGAATCCTCTGCTGATACTCCTATCCTGAGCGACGGCAGCAAACCAGAACTAGCTAATGCTAATCTGTCTGCTGATCCTTCTGTCTTGCCATCTCTGGAATCAAATGAAGCAAATGAAGAAATATTGCCCGCTTCAGTTGATACTCAAATTGTATCGGAACACCTTAAGCCTGACAAAGAGTTAGTAACAACTCCAGGTGGTCGAAGACTAAGACAAGTTCGGCACCCATCTGTCAAAGCTGCTGAAGCAGCTGCTGATGCTGCATTTGTTGCTGCTGTCACTCCAACCAGAAAAAACTTGAAGGAAGCAAAAATAGCGAGTGCACGTGCCAAAGTAAGTGATTCAGCTGATGTCAATAGTGTTTCAAAAAAAAATCACTCTGGGTCTTCCTCAACAAAAACTCGAAAAGGTCGATCTGCAAGTAGTGATCGAAAATCTCCTTTAGTTTTTTCTCTGAAAGAAGACAGCAACTCGCATGAAAAATCAAACAGTGAAGACAATTGTGATGAAGAGAAACTTTCTTCGATATCTGAAGAAATTACAAGCTCTGATGATGCTGCTGATGCTGAAAATGAAACAACTCAAAAGAAAAGTACTACCAGTGAGTTAGAGAAACCTGTCGGTATTAAAATGAAGATATCAAGAGAGAGTGTGCAAATTTTAGATCCACATATGTCAAAATTAGAAGTACAAATTCCATCAGAAACAACAGCACCTGAATTCACAGCTTCTCCTGGCGGTACTAAAAGACTTTGGAAATTGAAGGAGGGAACTATATCTCCGGTTCCTCCTCTCTCTCCCATCACATTGAAAATTGCCAAGAGTAAGGAGGGGCTAGAAGTTGTCTCAACTGATAATTCCCCCCAAACAGTATCCAGTGTTGATTCAGAGGGTGGAAGAGTGGAGAAAATAGAGAAAATAACACTTAAACTTTCTCGAGATGAAGGTGCAACTATTGTGAAGCCATGTGCTGACGAATCTGTGGAAAACAGGCAAGAGAAACTTACTCTAAAACTAGTTAAAGGTGAACTTTCTAATACATTTTCTTCAGTGCATAGCCAAGATGATGATGACAAAAACAAACTTGAAAAGATAACATTAAAACTTTCAAAAGGTGATGGTGCTTGTATAGTGAAGAGAAAAGAAACAGATGTAGTTTCCTCATCATCTGACCAAGATACTGGCAAACTTGAGAGAATTACTCTCAAGTTGTCTTCAGACAACAATGTGAGCATTAAACGACCTAAAGATGTTGCTTCTCAACTAGATCGTGGTGCATCGGCTAGTCCAGAGCCTGGAAAAATTGAGAAAATTACTCTCAAAGTATCAAAGCACGACAATGTTTCTATTGTGAAACCATCATCTCCCACACCATCATCTGTTAGCATTGAGAAATTAACTCTCAAGGTGTCAAAAGATGGAACCGCTGCTGTTAGTGGTAAGTCACATGATGAACATCCTAGGGATGGAGAGGGCTCAAAACTTGAAAAGATAACTCTCAAACTCTCCAAAGATGATGGTGTGAGCATAGTTAAGCCAGCATCACCTGTACTGGACAGAAAAACCTTAAAATTGTCCAAGGATGAACCACTTTCTCCCCTCTCCCCTCTGATTATTTCTAGGGGTGAAGATGTTGAACCTCAGAAAGAACGAATCACATTGAAGCTCGCCAAAGCAGGTGGACATCCAAGCCCTGTAGGTGTTATTGATGAACGCTCCAGCTGGTCAATAAAATCAACTGATTCAGATAACGTACCATCACCTGTTACATCAGAACCTGCCACTCCAAAATCTAGGCCTAAGCGTACTTTGGCCGATACATTAGAGGGCCTAAGTTCTTCTAAACGATTAAAGTTGTCAGAAGTTGGAAAGTCTGATGAACCTGAAGTCTCTTCAGCCTACAGAGCACAAGAGAAAGAGGATACTGAGCATACAGAGGAGGAAATAATGGATGTAACTTCACCTCAAATGGAATCAGATCCTTTGGCTGAAGACCCTATACCGGAGATCAAAACTGATCCTTCTGGTGTTTGTCCGAAGGAAGATTCAATGGATGTCATTCAGTTGGATTCTGAAGATTCTCAAGGTGCTCCTCCCCCAGTACCTGAACCAAGGTATGTGTAGATGTCTTCAGAAACACATCAACTTTTTTATAAATCACCATGGTACATTTATTTTTCTGTATTTGTCTACTTTTCTTCTGCAGTGTTCCTGTTATTGGCATTGAAAGCGAAGTTCCTACTCCAAGGGGAATGAAAAGGAAACCAAGAGGCCGTCCAAGAAAGTCAGTCTTGCCACCCGGTGCTGTACCTCCTAGCACACCTATTGTTGAGGAAGCTCCAGTAACAACACCAACCAAAGCAAAACGAGAGAAGATACGTGTGGAGCCTGTTGAAAGTGATCGCCCTAAACGGTCCTGTAAGGGTAGAGAGAAGCCTCCTCCAAAGCCCCCTAAAGCTACAAAGCCTCGAGGACGTGCTGGTAAGTATATCTTGGAGACATTAGCTTTTAGATTTTTAATACGAAGCTTTTTTTACTTTAAATCCTAAATCACCTTTCTCTTTTTAAATTTTTTTGCAGCTTTGAACAAACTTAAGGCAGAACAAATAATTCAGCCTGAAGAACCACAGTTGTTTGAAGAAGAAACAAGAATGAGTGCTGATCAATCTGAGGCACCTGCTCCTGATCCTTTGGTTTCTGTTGGAAGCTCTGCAAATGGCTTAGTTCCTAAAGTAATGGTCTCTAGGCTACCAGAGACACATTTTGATAGCACTGGTCCCAACACCACCAATGATGAGTCACAGGCATCACAGGGTAGTGTTAGCTTGATATCTTCAACAACTGAAAGTACTCCGAACAGAGGAAACCGTAAAGGTCGCATGGAAATTGATGTCGACCCACAAACGTAAGTTAACTACCTTAACACTATTCAGAAATTACTGAGCATCAAATTTTAGTCAATAACTGTCTGGAGTAAGAACAGTCACATATCATCTTGAAGTAAAATATTTTATGGGATTCAAAGTAACTTTTAATGATCTATCTATATATCTACATCCTTTTTAGGCAAGTTGAATTCACAGTTGATATGATTGCCGAATATGTTTGGCCTTTAAATGATGGTCATGGGGAAACGTACATGATTCAAGAGCAAATATCAACCTACCTCGGTGTGAAATCTTTCAAACGTAAATATCCAAACATGCAAAGGCGTACTGTTGATCATGATGAACGCCAATATCTATTAGAAAGGCGTTTGGTTTCAGAAACTTTGTGTGATCTTGGTAAGTATTGTTTTTGCACTCATTGCTTCATTCTTCTCACATCTTCCTACATCTCATCTGTAAGTGATTTTTCAGGTCTCACCGCCTTACCTAGCCATGAAGTATTAGATGTACTGTGTACTGATTTTCCTGAAAAGTTTGAAGAATATCGACGATACACTAGAGAAAAAGTTCAGCGAGAATTTTCAAATAAACAGAAAGGTATGGAACAAACATTATGTTTGTGTAAAAGTGTTCCCGCTAATAAAGTTCAGGGCAAATTTTAAAATTGTATTTGTCACAATCATGTAATACTATCAATGCTTTCTACAGCCATGCTGGCTTCAGGAACCAAAGAAGACTCTAAAAGCAAAGCAATGCGAAATATGGCATCATTCAATTCCATGCTTAATCGTAGCAGAAGAGACCAGCGCAGATGTTGTTTTGATCTTCAAAGTTTTACTGTGCACTATCCTGAAAATAGGCGCCGAAATATGGGTGTTCCAAATCCTCCACGTGTAGGACCATACCCCTTGGCCCTTGTACCAGGCCAGTACACTGACTATTACAAAGAGTAAGTTTATGTTTTGCCCTCTGATTTTCTTTCTGTTACACATCCTGATCAGTATTGTTTGGTTTTTGTCCTATTCTTTAAACAAATGTTTTACCGTAGGTACACTGCTGCTGAGCTTCGCTACTTCCCAGTCAATACTGTACTTTATGGACCTCTCTTGCCTCATGAAATGATGAGATCACGCACTGGTGGTAGTGATGGTAGCCAGACAGAATCATCTGAGTCTAGTTCATCTGAAAGTTCAAGGTACATCTCATTATAGATTTCTGATTTAGTTTAAGTTTGTTTTTCTCCAAAGTATGAATTATGAAATATTTGTATTTATGTTCCACATTTAGCTCTGATTCAGATAGCTCTGGCAGTGATTCTGACAGTGATTCTGACACCTCTTCTGAAAGTGGGGATGATTCATCAAGTCAGGTAGGCCAAGGTACAGTCGACAATCAAGAGGAGGTTGTTGATCGGCCAAATGCAGTGTGCAGAGTCTGTAATGGTGATAAACTTAAAAACAAACTTGGCCGTCCTGAAGCACTCATTCACTGTGCCAGTTGTGAGAAGAGTGGTAAGCTTTTAGCTGTCTTTATTTTTACCTTCTTGTTTTTTTGTAGTTTAAATGAATGTACTTTAAAAAAATAAATTGTATATATGCTTTGTAGGTCATCTTTCTTGCCTTGATTTAACTGTTGATATGATGCCTCATATTCGAAAATATTCTTGGCATTGCACTGACTGTAAGCTTTGTGCTCAATGCAATGATACAGCAGATGAGGACAAAATGCTCTTTTGTGACATGTGTGATCGAGGGTAAGTTTTGTGCTGCATTACAAGTCAATCTATAACTTTCACATGCTATCATCAATTGGTACTTATTTAAAGTCATAAATTCCATCCATCCTATAGGTATCACATATATTGTGTTGGTTTAAGAAAAGTGCCAGAGGGTAGATGGCATTGTAAAGAATGTGCTCTTTGTGCTTCATGTGGAGCCAGAGATCCTGGTGGCACTGAAGAACACCAAGCTATTCAGAATTTAACAGCACAGGATTCTCCAACAAAAACAGCTGAGCCTCCCCAGTGGCAACATGAGGTGATCATATTTTAACTTTGGAGTTCTAATGTGTAACCTCTTCTAATCTAAAATTATTCCTCCCTTTACACTTTGCTTCCTTGTCTGATCATTCCATTTTTGTTCTAATTTGTTTTAGTTCAAAAAAGGTGATAAAGGGACACGAGTCTACGTCCGTACACTTTGTGTGCCGTGTTCAAAGTAAGTGTTTTTCAAATAAAGTCATATTTCCTCCTGAACTGCATGTTTGTTCCATACACAACCTGTACATCAGTTCTTGTCATTTCAATTTCTCATAATTTACTCACACAATGTGCATTAGTTTTTTCTAATCTGTAACTAATTCCAGTTAACACAATGCTTCTATTTCTCATAAGTGTTTCTATTTTTAACTATAATTAGTTAATTGCTACAGTGCTATGATCAATAACAGGAAATCTTGCACAGGTTGTGGCGAAAGGGACGCTATTGTCGTCTTTGCTGGAAATGCTTTACCGATCAGCCTGAGGAGGAAGGGCTTATCAACTGTTCTATCTGTGATCGCTGGATGCATGCGGGTAGGCTTTCATTGTCTTGTCGTTGTCATTGTGTTTATTTTGATGTAAAGGTACCAGCTTACTTGAAGAAAGCTACCTTTGTCTGCCTTGTGCGTGCCATATGCTTAATTTTCTTCTGTGTCATGAATTACATTGGCAACATGCCAAAGTCATCAGTTACAATTCCAATGCAAACATTTTTGACCTTATCAGTTTTCATCTATCTATCTATCAATAAACATTCTACCTACAAAAATCTTTCAATCACAGCGAGATTGTTGTAGGTTCATTTACTTTCACACATGGTGCTCATTCATTATATCATTAACACAATGTTTAGTGTTTTACATTTTCTCTCTCCATTTTCTTGGCTAATCTAATGTAATTGATATTTGTTTCAGAATGTTGCCGTAAAGCTGGTCGAATAATCGATGTAGAGAAATTGAGTAGTTACATTTGCGAACTTTGCCAGCAGAAAGGAGCTCGCGTTTCAGTGAACAAATCACCATCAAAGGTGTTGCGCTAATAAGATTTTTATATTAAGGTTTACGTTGTATAGCTTTGATTTACCTATTTTAGTTTTGAAATAGAAGTAAAGAAAAATAAATATGCAAGTGCCCATGTCAAATTTTTTAAGTATAAGTGGAATATGTTTTAATTTCACCTGCACAATATTATTGTTGTACAATTGTAACGGTAATATTCATGCAATTTTAAGCTGTTATTCATTGACATTGTGTTGCGTTTACTTTTGTAAATACCTCTTATTGTTTCACTGCTTTAATTTTTTTTATTCCAATGAAATGTAATTCCTGACTAGTAATGTACCTGGTTTTTGACAATTGGTTCCCCAACCAGTATACTGTGCAACTTGTCAAAGCCTGGTCACGAATAAGAAACTATCAAGAAAATTTAGATGCATAAACTTTTTGAAATTATTTGACCTCGTCCATTTTCCTAAATCATAAGATACAGACATGGTGTTTTTTGTCAGGGTTTTATGCTAATACAATTGACCTAAATACCCATTTTCGCGCCAAAGCAGTCAGCTCCCGCCAACAAGATCGCCAACGCCACCGACGCCGGTGACATGTTCGAAAAGTTTCGAATTCAGCACACAGCTAGCCCGTTACTTCTACGGAACACTGAGAAAAATATAATAGGGACATATCACAGTAGTTAGCCAGAGATAACTATCTCTGCTAAAACTTAAAACTATTTATTCAAATTCGCGGTAAAACTGCGCTCACGGCTCCATGGACTACACCTCAGTCCGAATCGTAGAGGCCGTTATTGTTTGTGTAGCGTAGTTTATTATTGTTCTTCTTGCTTCCCACGAAGTCGGCTTGGTTGTAACAGTATTTTAAGTGTTTAGGTGTTTTACCGCATGAAAGAAGTATTCGAGAAAATGAGAATATTGTTCAAGTTGACCTAGCTTCGTAAGTTTCGTTTTATTATGGCACATCTCGTCCGAAGTTGTTCATTGTGTGTGTAATGGGGCTATGGTCGTCCGTCCTCTGTGATGCTGACACCATATCCAGTCTCCCAGCAAAGCATTTTTCACTTCAACATTCCTTATACGCCCAGTGGTTCGAGTAGCGTTGTTCCTGCAGGCATAGTGGGTGTTTTCGGGCTGTGATTAGCGGCATTATTGTTGTCTTGAACGACTCGGTGCAGTGACGCTGCCAGTTTCTTTTGCATGCCGCGCATGCCCGCGTTTTTGGTAGGCCGAGTCGCTTTGCTACGCGCTACGCTTGTCGTACGCCGACGATGGCGCTAGGTTAGCCGCCAACCGCTTTCACCAGGATATCTCTCTGATCAGCAGTCAACGCAGCAGTCTACTCTTGTTACATGTAACCCGTTGCTCGTTTTGGCTATTTCTAATCAGACCTGGTGTAAAACATTTTCTTTGAATGTCAAGCATTATATTGGTATATATGTCAGTTTCAAATGCTCATTAGATTTAGTTTTTTACTTTCTTGGCTCTTTGTCAACCAACTGATCCTGGTTGGAAGCTTCGCACCATTTCCAGTTTTAATTTTAACCCATAATTGTGCTGGTCATTCGAGAGACTAGCAATTAAATTTCTCACTTTGTCTTAAGTTGGACTATTTTGACCCATACGAAGTGTTCGTCTTTTCTTGTGTCGGTTTTATGTCTTAGATGTGTTTCTCGTGAAATGAAATCTGGTAGAGGCATATATTTTTCCTATATTCTTCACCCTCACTTGCCAATGGCATAGTTCTCCATTTATTTATTTTTTAATTGTTTTACACCACTTAATATCTTATTGTTAATTAATTTCTCACTAGCTTTTTGTTTCTGTGGTTTACAGATATAGTGGAAATTTTTTCTGACTCATCAAAGATAGTATTGGGAAGATTGAATTGCCATGGACAAAACTGCTTCTCGCAAAGGTCGCCGAAACAAGGTGGGGGGTGTCCGTAACAGTACAGATGAAAGTGGTAATCCTGGCACTGAGCTTGTAAATGGCAAAGTTAAGCAGGAATTAGCTGAGGTTAGTCATTTTAATTATAAAGTGCATCCCTAATTAGTGTTTGTATTATGTGGTTTTTAATTTGATGCGCTCTTTCCAGGATCCACAGGACAACAGTGAAAACCAAGCAACTGATTCAGAAGAAGTTAAGCCCAAAGAGGATATTCCATCTGATGACAGCAAGGCAAATAATGCTGAGTCCTCTGAATTTCATGGTTTTGATGAATCGTCTGACCCTAGTGGAGCATCTGTAGTTAATCAACTAGTTGGTGAGTGGTTTTGTTATATTTTTTCAAAATGGTGGTGGTGAGAGAGATGTTAGCGATTTCATTGCCAACCTACAGGCAAATACGAAGCAGATCTAGAGGATGAGGATTCTTCAGTGAAAGAAAGCAATGAAATTGCAGGAGACGCTCAGGATGGACACAAAGTTCTTGGTCAAGATATTTACACAGACAGCGAGGATGAATCTCCTAAACAAGCAAAAGGGACGAAGCAAGTCAAAGTAGCCTCTAAGAAGAGGTTAGTTCTCCATACATGAAGCAACTACTAGATCTATGCTCTTTCCCTTTTGTGTCGTTACCATCATTTTTTAATTTTCTTCTAGACCTTTAGAGAAACTTGCTGAAGAATTCAATGATGATGACCACAAACCAGCGACCCCTCCTGCTAAAAGAGCAAGAAAGAAATCAGCCAAGGCACGTGAAGCAGCTGGTGATAACATGGACAATATGAAACTTCTAAGTGAGGTTTCATCAGAGGTCACAAGCTCTGGGGATGTTCCACCGAAAAAAAAAGGTATGAATTATGTTAACTCCTTTAGTGTGTAACAATGAAATGAAGGTACGGTGGGAAAAAAGCAACCATTGAGACATGAATCACATGTTCCTTATCATACATAGTGGCACAGTTCTGATTATTGGTCTTGTTGGACACCAGTTTGCATCTATTGTTGTATGTTTATATTATGGATCCCCATGGTAACAAACATGGAGGCTGAACCATACTTTATGAGTAGTTGCACTCTCTTTGATGCGCTTGAGTTAGCTGTTGTAGAAAGTGGTGGGTGTGACCTGGTCAATTGTGTCTATTTATTATTTATGAATATTCCACCTTTACTTTTTCCCACCAAGGGTTTTCATCCTTTGTTGTTGTATTTACACCACTCCCACTTAACTTTCCAGTAAAAGTCTCAAGTGTAAAACTTTATGTAATTTTCTATCTTTTCTCCAGCCATCAAAGACGAACCACACTCTGAAGTTACAAGTTCAGCCAGTCAAGGAAGAAAATCTCAGGACACAAGTGATACTGCTCGCCGAGGAGGAAGACATGTAACAAAAGATGCCACTGATCCTACTTACCTTAAACCTTTGGAGCTTGGTACGTGAAATAACTTAGTTCTGTTAATCCACCTAAGTTTGCAAATTTTTTGTTAGTTGTTTGATTTAACTTTTCTTTTTACCTTCATCAGGCTGGAAGCGGGAACTTGTGTACAGAGGCACTAATCCCAAAAGCGGAGATGGAAAAAGAACTGGCGACATTTATTACTACACTCCTGAAGGGAAGAAAGTTCGGTCAAGAGTGGAGATACTGGAACACTGTGAGCCACCAACTTTTTATTAGTTGTGCCGTCATATTTGTGCTTTTCCTAAATCTAATCCATTATCTATTTGTTGCAGTGAGAGGAACAGGATTGACTGTTGAGCACTTTTGTTTCCTGAAGGAACCGCTTGGTCTCGATGATCCAAACAAAGAAGTTATTAGGGAAGCCTCAGTTTGGAAAGCAAGTCTGGTAGTGCCCTCTCATGTTTCCGTTGTTTTGTTTTTTCCATCCTACTATTACTGTAATTCTCTTATCTTTCATATTTCTAAAGGATTCAGTCCCAGTTAAGAGAGAGAAGTCTCCAAAGATTCCAAAGCAGAAAGCTTTGAAAGGAGCCAGTGCCTCTGATTCACCCGCTGTATCTGATGACACTTCTAACGCTTCTGCTGCTGGCTCAAATGGTCCGAACGCGAGTCCAACTGCACCTTCAGGAACAAAAGCTGGAACACCAAGAGTTGTTTTTAAGGCAACCAAACAAAGTCCTAAATCAAACCTTAAAGCAAAGGGAACTCCTGGTCGTAAAAGTAATGCAGAATCTCCTCCAACAAAAGGGAAAGGTATTGTTAGCATTGGATCTTTTCACATCCTCAGTTTTTGAAATTTCTTGTGTATTAAGTGTAAGCCTTTTAGTTGGTAGGCCGAAGAAAGATAAAGAGAACACACAAGTCAATGAAGGGAGCGCAGAGACTGGGGTGATGCCTCCTAACTGGGATACAATTGAGCACTCAGAACAGACCTCTTCAAATACAGCCAGTGGGTTGTATAAGGCCAAGTGAGTTAACATTTTTATTTTCAATTTTTTTGAATGAGTTATGACTTTATTCCTTGATTGTGCACATGAATTAGACAGAGGTGAGGATTATTCAGCTCATGTCGTGTGGTGTGGGATCAGGTGACATCTTCCTTTCCCCCTTCCCTCACCCCTTCTCAACCTCTTGCAGCTCTTCTGGGAGCAGTTTACTGATCACAGCCTATGCAAGCCGATGCAAAGCTTCATTTTCAGGTTTCCCTGTGGTTGGCCATTTTCTTAATCCCTAGTGCAATGAGCCCTTAGTGATTTGGGCTTGTTGAATCTTCAGTTCATGTTGATTGTTTCCCTGATTGTTTGGGCTTTCATTAATTCCCTGTCCAGCTCTCTGCGTCTCCCGCCACTGCCTCGCCCACCTGCCCCACCTACTGCCGGCCCTACTCCATCCGAACCACCAGCCCCTCCCCAGACTGTTGCCACTATTGGTGGCCAGAAGTTCATTGTGGTTCCCAAGCACAACTTACTGGCCGTTTCACCGGGGGCTGCTTGTGCTGTTAGTCCTTCGACGAGCAACTCTCACCATGCGGCAAAGGCACCTTCTGGAGTATATTTTATTCCTGGCTCTCGCGGGAGCTCAAGTTATCCAGGCAATCTGTCTGGGCGTTCATCTAACCTCCTGGCGTAAGTTTACAGTGAAGATCGGTGGTCTAATCACATTTTGTCAAGATTTTCTGGCCAAGTGGAATAATGAGTAAATTATCTTCTTCTGGTTAAGTGGTTTCTTTTCAAAATTGAACTTTGACTTGTTGTGGTCTCCTAGTTTTGTTGCTTAACTTGTTACATTACTCTGGTCTGTGATGATGCTGAAAGCAGGTCACCCATGTTGCAAATTATTCCTTAAATCCTTGGCTGTTTATCTAAAGTTTCTTGTGAGCCTGTCGGGTGGATGTGGGAGGGGGATAATAATTCTTGAATTACTTGCAGGCTTTGCCCCTTCTTCCCTTCCTCATCCACTGCACTCCTGTGCTCCATTTTTCTGTTTATCCACTCAAAATTTTGCATATTAGTTCAAACCAGTTTGAGCATTCATGTCCAACAGCTTTCATTTATTTTTATTTCTCATCGCTGTTCTGTTCTGTAGCTCTGTACCCAGGTTTATTATTAATTTTGTCTTCTATTTTCCAGAAATTCACAGGATTTTTAACATACCAAAGTTCTTTTTAACCCCCACCCCTCCCTTCCACCCACACCACTCGACTGCTACATTTTGCTTGTTGTCAATACTTATGTAAAATTTATAACAAGAAAATAATTGCTTTATAAGTAAAATAAATTACAAATTTTATTTTTTAGATCAAAGAAAGTGAAGTTGGCTGAAACTCCAGATGCTACTGTGGAAAGCACCACTGCTACTTCACAAGGCAAGCGGAACATGGAAAATTTCATAAGTGATTTGTCCAATGGTTATGGGGCACTGTTTCATGTCATGGGCTATCTGAAAGTTCAGGAATTATTGCGTGCTTCAAGAGTTTGTAGAATGTGGAGAGACCTATCATTGCATCCTAACCTGGTATGTTAAATAATATTTAAGGAGAATTTTATTTTAGTTTGAATGCGTTAATAAATTATGTTTTTTCATTGCAGTGGCACACTGTGCGCATGAAAAATTCTCAAGTTACTGATTGGGATGGATTTGCTGACGCAATCAGTGCCAGAGGTACACGTGTCCTCGATTTGCGCAAAATGCTTGCCCCTGGTAGCCCTGAAGATATTTCACACATGTGGTCAGAATTTAATCGTGTAATTGGACAGGCAGACAGCTTACAACGAGTTGAGTTATCACGCTGCCCTGCAAGTGTCTTTGAGCAACTTGCTACAAGCTGTCCACAACTGAGAGTAATAAATGCCATAGCTATAAAGTAAGCAGTTATATTAATATTGATAACCTTCTTTAGTTTTGTATGTAATTTAATATGGTACTTGCTAACAAAATTACTTTTACTTCCAGAAGTGAAGAAGTAGATTTAGAACCCATTCGGAACGTTCCTTTGTTGGAGGAACTTCGATTGAAAAGTAATAGTGGGATGAGCATCACTGCTTCATTGGATCCCCTTCTTTCCTGCAGACTAAAGCACTTGGTAAGCTCTAGGGTACATTGGAAAAGCCAAAGAACAGAATACATGTTGATACTGCCTTAATAATTTTACAATTTTTAAAGTGATTTAAATCTTATGCGGACCTCAACTTATATAATGTATATTTACAGTCAATAACATCAGTGAAGAATCTAGGTTCTTGTAATATTGAAATCATCAGCCAACTGAAGAACCTGGAGTCTTTAGAATTAGGAGACTGTGTTCAAATATGTGATGACTTTGGACCTAGTCATCTGTCAAAGTGAGTTATTTGTTTTTTACATTCTTCTTTAGTTTTCTGTATCATTTAATTTTTGAATAGTAACTTTATTATTTATCTATTTTTGTATATAGGTTGACAAAACTACAACGCCTTCGTTTGGAGAATGGAAAGGTACCTGGCTGTCCTGTAATATCTATCATGGAGAGTATTTCTCAACTTCCTGCTTTGAGACAGTTGGAGATAATTAACTTTGATGTAAAGCCAGGCTTTGACAAAGCTTTGGGAATGTGTAAACAACTGCGGAGGTTACTTATAATTCCAACTTACATAACAACAGTAAGTTTCCTCATATTGTTCTTTAAAGTCATTGACTTTATTGTGAGGCTCATCTTCACCATTTCTTCTGTTTCAGTCTTCTTCAACAAACCATATTGTTCTGTGTAGTTTACCTCTCTTGGAAGATTCTTTAGAGTATCTTGTTTGGGGATTAACCCAAGAACTCACACGTGTCACTGACCTCTTTATGGACCAATGTGAAGCACGTAAAGGTGTTCAGGGTTCAGGCAAGCTCAATGCTTTTGCAGGAGAGTGCATTCCTGTGGTTAACCCTGTTCAAGTAAGTAACCAGTATTCTTCAATATACCTAGTGTTAACTATTAATTTCTATTATCTCATGCAATGTTTTCCCATTTGCAGAAGGATAAGCAGAAGAAGTCTGAAAATGGTGAAACTCAAGAAGATAAAGAGGCTGGTGATAAGATGGATGTTGATGAAGAGAAGAAGGAAACACAGGAAGGGGAGGAGAAATCCCAGAAAGACACTGACAACGCTTCTAATTCGGACGCTGATGATGTTGAAAGTCTAGCCCGCGATTTCCGTACAATATCTTCAATAGACCAACCTGAAACAAGTGCAGTGCCTCCTGTGAAAATCTTACCAATTCCAAAGTTGCACAAACTTTTGAACCAACTTCTCCCCAATACTCGAGTCAAAATTCTCAAAGTACCTTTCACATCAACCTGGAGGCAAACTTTCCCAGAGTTGTCAAGTTTTTAGGAGATGTTGCTCTATCATGTGTAAATATTCCATCATTCTCTACATCAAAAAGATGATTACTTATTGTCCCCTATATTTATAAAAAAAAATTCCAAACACTCAACTTTTACCCAGTTCTGTAGGCTGTAAACATTTTCTAGTACCTGTGTGGTATTGTGTATTCAAAGAGTATCATGTGACTTGCAGTTTTCATCGAAACAATACCAAATTATTGCCTTAATTTTGATGAACTGCATGAACTTTGAATCATACCAATGTAGACATTAAAAGAAAAGTTGGAGGGTGGCGACCTAAGTATATATCTTGTATATTTTCACTCTGTTAGAAATTCTATTTAATTTGTTTATTTACTGAGATAAATATCTGCAATTTTCTACAGTTCATTATTTTTTACCAGTGTTTATTTGGCCTTTCGTTAGCTGCTAGTCTGTTGTGGGTGCCTACGCATAATTGTGTACTTCAAAATAAAACAATTTCAAAGTCTTAGTTTCTCTATCTAAATGAATTATTTACTCAGTGATCTGCACAGTTATTTTTGAAGTGATGTTAACTTAATGCAAGTTGTATTTTGCTTATTTTTATGAGTTGAAATTGTAAAATGTAGTCTGTCTCCAATGCAAACAGAAAATGGTGTTATTTTGAATTTTTTGCAAGGTAAAGTGCATCTTAGTTGGTATGGTTAATGTTTCCCATTCCCCCACCCCCTCTTTTGTGAAAATTTGAAATTTTTAAAATAATTTTAAATTAGGTATTGACAAATGTACATTCATTCAAATAAACTTATTTTTTAAAAGTAATCTTAATTCTTGGATATTTTTACAGGCCTCTCTCCCTTCCTATACTTGGCCAGAACTATCATGGTGCTTACAATTCAACCTGTTGAACTATACCTCAGCATACTGATCTACTTCCTATAGAAATGCTTGTGAAAAAAAAGGGAAGAAAAAACGCCTCTTCGCTTGAACGATTTTCCTTGGCGCCGTACCGG